AGTGTGGGGAAATCTTCACAAAACCCAAGGAAATCTTTCTCCGACTCTGATGTTTGTCAAGTGATTTCAGCAGAGAGCGGCATCAACCTCCAGTCAAGCTCAAGTGTGTGTGTGAACAGAGTACAAGAACAGGAGGACTTTGAGCCACAGCCCGGACCAAGTGGTTATGTGGCTGAGACAGGAAGATTTAAGAACTTGAAGCCACAGTCTGATCCTAACTGTTCTGCATGTTCCAGCATGTCCTCTCTGTACAGCACAGAAAGTGAAGTGAATGTCTTCTTTGATGAATACATGGTCAATATGCATGATATCCATGCACACAACTGGGCAGACCTTGATGATGATGATGATCACTCAGTGTCTGCCGTGTCCAGTCAGGAATCTGTCCTATCAGCTGTGTCAAGTGTTTTGTTAATGCACACCGACTACAACCAATGGAATGAGGATGATGAGCTGGTTGGACCTCTTGGTGATGATGGATGGGCAGTTGGATCAGCAGAGGTCGTCATTGATATTGATGACACTCTCGAGTTTAACATGCAGTATCCTCCTCTTCAACCTGAGTGTGAGAGACAAGTTCCAGCTATCCCCCACAGGACCCCCAGCGAGTCTATGTTGTGTGACAGGAAGAGGAAATACTATGATGAGCTGATGGGCGATGGTGATCATCCCAGCAAGAGACCACGGAAGTCTGTCAGTGACACAGCAGTTTCCAGTCCTCCTCAACAACCAGAGGCACCACAGCAGCCCAGGAGACATAAAAGAGCTGCTCGTCGCAGGTTGACCAGAAAATGAGTAACAAGGAACTGAGAGTTTTGTTTGTGACTGTCTTGTGCTTTGCTGTAAACATTGTAAAGTGTTGTAGGTCTTCGTCAATGTTCACTATGTTGTCTGCATCCATTTATTGTCTAATGCTTGTAAACCACAGTAAGCCCACAGTTTAGTCATAAACCACTCTGTGTTCATCAATGGTCAAACTGTAACCAAATCTAAGAGTATTAAGTCAGCAGGTCAGGTTACTCCCAGCGATATAAACGCTGAAGACCTGAGCCATGTAAAGACCACATGACCTCAAAATTGCCTTAGACTTCCCTGTAACTGTCTAGGTAACTCTTGAGCTGAACTGTGCCCAGTCTATATATAGCTTTTAGAGGACGTTAGACACCCCTATAAGTCTAGGTATCTCTAAAGCTGGTCTGCGCCACGACCACTCAAAGCCCAGTCCTGACAGACCTCATTGTAGGCATGGGTATCCCTTGTGCTGGTTCCCCTTGAGCCACATTTCTGTGTCAGAACATACGTGGATTCAAAGTGGTGGCGGGGAAAGGGTGCGAGTGTTCACCATACAATCATTTATTCATTTGGAAAGTTTTCACATATGTACCGACTAAAACAAAAGGGCATGGAAAAACCAGCCTCTCTGATTTGGCTTTAGTAGACTGCAATTTTCCCCCGTTCTGTACAGTTATATTTTAATTCAGTTAAAGTACAAGTTAATTTGTACTCTCAAAATTCAACCAGTTAAAAAAACAAACGTATCTGCACTCTTGCAATATGTTGGTTATCACTTAGACACGTACCAGCTAGAGGAAGATGATTATAAAATGATTTTAATCTTACCAAAGAAATGTCCTTTTGAAAATGTAGTAAATTTCATTGACTAGTAAGATCATGGGTTCAGGCATGTCCTGGTAAGTATTTCAAAAGAAATCAGGGGTGTATGGCTTTCCAGCTCAGAAATAGTTAGGCTTTGTGCCATGGTTCTTTGAATGGAATCAGCCTCTCGAAACAAATATATTTTTTGTGGTATATTTACGTTGTATGTTTGAGTTACCAAAAATACAACCTGAGACAATGCGCTGAAAGATCAGCTTTGTTTTATGTATTTATAATTAATAAATAGAATTAAACGTTTGCAATAAAAATTGTTTTCTATGTAAAACAGCAAAGTGCAATATATCTTATCTTCAAGGAAACCATTTTTTCAACGGAAGGTGGTCAGTACCAATTGACATTGTTAGCTGTGTAATAAACTGTTTTGCACTTAATCACTTATTGCTTATTTATTGATATATCAATTTTACGAACCTACAAAAATACCCGATCTATATGTATTTATTCAGTCAAAATTGAGTGACGGACGTTGGTTCCAATATGTGCCAATCACAAAGTTTCCTGTAACATATAATGTCCATACACACGTCTCATGTTTCCAAGGTATGCCTATTGGTTTTCCATCACATTTGCATTTGAGGGTCGCTAACCGAAATAAATCACTGTCGTAAAAAGCCTTGTTACTTCCAATGTTGCACCTCGGTATCAATCCAATGTAAATCCTAGTTTGGGCAGGTTTATGTGATTCATCTTCCACTGCCTTCTTCGAACTTGATTGGATGTATTTGTGCGATCTGCTCTCCAACCGAAAACACATATATCAAATTGCATCTTGACCATATTAAAATGGTGTTTTTTTATCGGTATTAGATTAAAGAAAGTCCTGAAGATTCGAGGGGGGGGGGGGGGAGGTAAATTTGAATGTCAATAAATTCGACAAAACTTATACACATGACTGAAGACTTTTAGAGAAATAGGTCAACTTCATGGAGTCAACTGAATATATAATGTAACAAAGGATATATGGAATTGAATTGTTTGTTCTTTCGTGCCACACCTAGCAATAATCCCGCTTACTACGGCGAGCTGTAAATCACCCATAAGCCTTGTCAATGACAAGTACTTTTAGTTGTCAGTTGAGACGAGTGTGCATGAGGCACCAGGAAGTATTCTGACCCAGAAAGCACACGTACGGGGATGTGAGTGAGTGAGTCCGTGTTTGTTGTTTACAGCCACATCATCACTATTCCCGCTATATCAAGGACCACCCGATGCATTAAGTCTATTCGTACGACAAGGGAGGGGATGGGGGCACATTCCCATACAGAAACCCCTTGGGAAGTAGGACTTGAATATGCGTTCATTGTACATGTGTATTACGAAATGTGCAGATATTGCACATATCACAATTTGCGTTTGCTGTTCTCTGTGATTTCCAAATTGAAACACAAAGGTTAAAAACAGAAATCGGTACTTACAGAACTAAATTGTGAAATCAGTAAATGGCCACATAACATCACTGAATAATCAACAACTTATATCAAAACATTCTAGATTTACTATTACAAAAAAGGTAATACAATGGGTCAAATAAGTAGCAGTAGCATATATTGCGGGCAGACACGGATGTCCCGAATTTGTCAATGTCGAATATCTGGAAAGTGGCCCCTGCTCCATTCTCGAATCCGGAACAGTGTTTGGAAACTGGCAGGAACTCGGTGTTTTCAGATAAGACGCCTCGAATCACCCCCTTGTGGCTCTTACGTAGCCTTCTAGAAACCGTCCCATTCCTAAACTTCTCGAACGATTAAGCAGGGTTAGAAATTGACACTTGTCCTGTAGTCCTTGCCAAACTGCCCAATAGTTAAGGTATCATAAGAACTAGTAGACATTTGCCATTTTTAAGGGTTTTGCTATATATTATCATTATGGGGACTAGCGGACCAAAAACATGGGTCAAGACTGTTATTTTTGGCAACAACCAAGGGTGGTAACTCTAATTCATACTTTCAGGCCACCACAGTATATTTCAACAGCGCTTTAACCATTTGCTGCCACTGACAATCTCGACAAAGAAATCTACGACAGTCTCTACTGCCACATAACACTGCGGTAAATTTAAACATAATATTTGTAGAAACATTCTCTTTGTGACAGCTTTGGTTAGTTCGCTCAACACGTTTTAGTTTACATGTATTTAAATGCCGTTGTAAAACAAAGCCAAGTGTCGATGACATATCTTCGTCTAGAAAATCGTACTTTCATTTTGCTTACTCATCCGTAGTAATCTGAACCATGTTCGGATCTCCTATCATTGAAGTACAGGGAACCCGGCATTTCAAGCTTGACGAGTGAACATAGTAACCACAATGCTACCCAATAACACCTCAATTTGCTGTACTATAGTTTTTGCCTTCGCCATATAGCTGTCATAGTGCTGAGTACGGCTTCAACAAATAAAACTAATTGTACTATGCTTATCAGTTTAATGAACAATCTCCAAAACGCAGCCAGTACGTTTCCCGCCCCAATTATACCTCGCCCGTGTCTACTATGCGTGGGGTGGACTTGCTCCTGATCAGAATCAGAAAGTATGGCTCTTTGTTTGTAATCCGTGCAATCGATTTCTACTTTAACCTGAACAACGACCAATAATGGTGACATGTCAATACTAGTAGCAGAGCCTTGATCCCAAGGGTTTAAACACTTGATAAGATTACATGGCAAAGGTGCAAATGCTTGTTAGGCGTAGAGGGAAATCGGCCTCATACGATGACCGGAACCGTCGCAGGAACACACGCGACGTTAAGTGATGGAAAACAGTTTGCTCAAGCGCTGTTTCGGAAATACACCAATAAGCTACTCACCATGACATAAACAAGGCAAAAAGTGAGCAGGGCTCATAATATCCCCGACCTCGACTCAACTTCAGCTGAAGAACATGTTTAATATTGGCGATATATTGATGCATTTAAGTAACGTTTGAGACGGTTTCTTAAAAAGCACACTAATATAACATAGCAATGGCATGTTTCAAGGATGCAGCATCGGCAAGCTTTGCCGGATGTGGAATACTTGACTATGTTGACATATAAAATAGCAATAGTTTCACAGAAAATCCACTTTCCGAAATCAAACTTTGCACTGTATCTCTCCTATTGGTATAGAAACTGTAGCCCCAATTGGAAAAGAATCCATGTAGTAGTTTTCAAGTTATAGGTCGCACAAATGTTTAAAAAAAGTAGAAAAAGATATTCTAAGTTCAAAACATGTAAAAATTCATATTGTCTCCGAAAATCCACAAATCAGAATCAAACTTTGCACAGTACCCCTACTATTAGTATGGAAAATGTTCCCTTAATTTGAAAAGAATGCATGCAATAGTTGTCAAGTCATAGATGGCACAACATTCTAAATAAAAAATACTAAGTTAAAAATAAAGCACAGCTATATTTTTTCAGAAATCCAAATATTGAAATCAAACTTCGCACTCCGCCTCTACTATCGATAAAGAAAGTGTTAACCAGGTTTGAAAAGAATCTATGCTGTAGTTTCAAGTTATAAGCCACACGAAAAGGACCGACGGACGGACGGAATTCCTTGGTATAACTATATACCTCCGCCCATTTAGGTCTGGGTATAATAAATACAAAGCGACACAACTTTTAAATCATTAACTAAGGTGCCGGTACTCGCTGTGCAGAGTTCTGTCCCTTAGTCATGCAATGATCCTTTGATCGTCGGTTCGAATCCTAGATTCGCACGATATTTTTACTCTTGGTTTGTCAGCACGACGCCCGTTCAATTAAGCAGTAAACGTCTGCAAACTGCAACACTTCGGGCTGGCCTCCAACACTTTGTGACACGCTCTAATCTAAAGGAACTACTGTTCAAATCGGTGCAAACTCAATAAACAGTTGTGTTTCTATAATAAACTATGCAACAACAAAAAATAATTTATTTTACAAGCGTATATCTTATGTGTTAAAAGCAATTCTTTTGCAAAAATATATCTGGTGTTCCGGAGTGAAGTATTTGGATCATATATGTTTATCTGAGGTACTTTGACACACCATTGCAGCTTGGGGGTCACTGGGTGAGTGAGTTTTGTTTGTTTATTTGTTGTTTAATGCCGCAATATTCCAGCTGACGGCGGTCTGTAAATAATGGAGTCTGGTCCAGACAATCCAGTGATCGATATCATGAGCATCTATCCCCGCAAATGGGATACGATGACATGCATCAACCAAGTCATCTAGCCTGACCACCCGATCCCGTTAGTCGCCTCTTACGACAAGCGGGTGAGTGAGTGAGTGAGTGAGTGAATTTGGTTTAACGCCGCTTTGAACATTATTCCAGTTCTATCACGGCGTAACAGCTTTATGGTGGAGGAAAGCCCGATGTGATGCAGGTCTCAAACGTGTACCACTTTGGTGAAACCCACGAGCGTTGCTATGGTGCCGACAAACCTGAGAAACCTAATCTAGACGAACCAATGTTTACAGGAACGCAACGCCGGGCCAACCATTGTGTTATTGAATGTTAAATTATATGAAAGCACGCAATATGGTTAGTTTCACGTAAGGATGGAACAGAAACATAACCTGTATGTAGTTAAGATTAAATCATAACATAAAAACCAGTTCAAGTTTGACCAACAAAATTCCTTTTTGAAACCCTCCGGAAATTAATAGTGGGTATTTAAGTTTCCTCCAGAAAGGTCGTGGTTTGGCCAACTAGACTTGGACAGTTTTTAACCTTTGAACAAATTGTTTAAAGTTAATCACAAGTGTTCACATGACTGACAACTAACGCTCTTTCTTAATATCTTGAGTAATGTCTGTAGTGACTGAATGGAAAAGGAAGACTTTTCAAAGAGGTAAGTTGTGTTCAAATACACCTTCAGTATCGTCGTGGCTTATGTACCAAACGAAGTATGTGTATCAGAATCGTATAACCTATCACAGCTGACAAAATTGACAAACACGGATATAAAATATTCACAAAGACATTCCTTAAATGGCCGTGGACCGGTACTGTCTGTGGCTTGACAAGCAGGGTTTATAGCAAACTCGGCCACAAAATGAATTGGCCAATTTGTGAACGGGTCCGTCATCTATCACGACGAGTTGACTAGTGTTTATATTACAGGCGGAAAAGTTGACACGTTCTTTTGACTTTTATTTGAATTCACGTCAGGAACTGTGTGACAGTATTAATGTAAATAATCTTCACATGGCAAAGTGAGGAAAGTAAGGATTGTGCATTGCGAGCCCTACACTTAGGAGTTTTGCCATCGTTCAATACACCTGCCTTTTTATTTAAAAGAAGCCCTTATTATGTTCAGGAGAGCTTTTCCAACACCACATTGTCAGTTCAATTTGGCCGCGTCACATCAAAATACAAAAATAGTAGTGTTGTTACCCTGTCAGGCGCTCCGCATTAAGGGGTACAACAAGTACAGGTTCCACTGGACGGCGTAACACCTCGTCAGTATACGGTTTCTGAGTGGGGGGTCCATGTTAGACTGCGACATGGTATCTCAATGGGCTAGCAATATAAAACGACATTAGTCTGCTCACACGCGCACATACACACACACACACGCACGCACGCACGCACGCACACACACACGCACACACGTCAAAAGACAAGTGCGAGAATCTTTAACGCCACGTTAAACTCCATTTCACTATTACCTCAATGCAAGTTGGCCATACCTTGTCTTCAGCGGTTAAGAGAATAAAGTGTAAAACAGTACAGTGACCCCAGCTTACTGTATACATGTACTTGTGTCACTTGCAATATACGGGTGGGCATCTCTACGCGCCAAAGAGTGTTGAATGGATATTGTAGACGAGGTGTTACGTTTTCGAGTGGAATCAGTTTAGGAATATATGCAGCATATTTCCGAGCATGTTTCCGAGACTATATACAAGGACGCTTGATAGATCTACATTTACCGCCCATGACATATGTAACCCCAGACGATATTGGAATTTTATGGTAATAAAAGAAATTGTCCCCAGAAATGCTTAAAAATAATTGTGGTTGTGACCGTTGAAAAAAGATTGTCGGCAACAAAATCATAGTTGCATGCTGCCTTTTTGTAAAACAATATTTAGGCTCATAGTTTGAATAATGAAAATATACGGTTTTGCAGATGTAGGGGTGAAAAAGCTGGTCTATCCATACTAAACCCGATCAAGGAGGCCTGTAAAATTAGATCTTGGCCAGACAAACCAGTGGTCAATACGAGCAGCATCCCACGCCGTCGGGTACGATGACACCAGTCAGCCATGTCACCCGAGCATGACCACCCGATCCACTAAGTTAGTTCGTACAACAAACACTGGTTGCTGGGAGCCAATTCTACCCAAGCCGCCACAAGTCACCTACGACTGCATCTCAGTGGCAAACAATGAATCTGTCCTCGACTTAATATTTGCAATGAGACTGCTGTGTGCATGTAGGCTCTCACCACGACACCACATTGGCCGTGACAAAGCAGGTAATCACGTTTGACCTATGTTCACAACGCTCTATCCACTACTCCACATGGGCCGTGACAAAGCAGGCAATAACGTATGACCTATTTTCACAACGCTCTATCCACTACTCCACATGGGCTGTGACAAAGCAAGTAATCACGTATGACCTATGTTCACAACGCTCTAACCACTACTCCACATGGGCTGTGACAAAGCAAGTAATCACGTATGACCTATGTTCACAACGCTCTATCCAATACTCCACATGAGCCGTGACAAAGCAGGCCATCACGTATGACCTATGTTCACAACGCTCTATCCACTACTCCAGATGAGCCGTGACAAAGCAGGTAATCACGTATGACCTATGTTCACAACGCTCTATCCACTACCACATGAGCCGTGACAAAGCAGGTAATCACGTATGACCTATGTTCACAACACTCTATCCACTACTCCACATGAGCCGTGACAAAGCAGGTAATCACGTATGACCTATTTTCACAACGCTCTATCCACTACCACATGAGCCGTGACAAAGCAGGCAATCACGTATGACCTATGTTCACAACGCTCTATCCACTACCACATGAGCCGTGACAAAGCAGGTAATCACGTATGACCTATGTTCACAACGCTCTATCCACTACTCCACTTGGGCCGTGACAAAGCAGGTAATCACGTATGACCTATGTTCACAACGCTCTATCCACTACTCAACATGGGCTGTGACAAAGCAGGTAATCACGTATGACCTATGTTCACAACGCTCTAAGCACTACTCCACATGAGCCGTGACAAAGCAGGCAATCACGTATGACCTATGTTCACAACGCTCTATCCACTACTCCACATAGGCCATGACAAAGCAGGTAATCACGTATGACCTATGTTCACAACGCTCTAACCACTACTCCACATGGGCCGTGACAAAGCAGGTAATCACGTATGACCTATGTTCACAACGCTCTAACCACTACTCCACATGGGCCGTGACAAAGCAGGTAATAACGTATGACCTATGTTCACAACGCTCTAACCACTACTCCACATGGGCCGTGACAAAGCAGGCAATAACGTATGACCTATGTTCACAACGCTCTATCCACTACTCCACATGGGCTGTGACAAAGTAGGCAATAACGTATGACCTATGTTCACAACGCTCTAACCACTACTCCACATGGGCCGTGACAAAGCAGGTAATCACGTATGACCTATGTTCACAACGCTCTAACCACTACTCCACATGGGCCGTGACAAAGCAGGCAATAACGTATGACCTGTGTTCACAACGCTCTATCCACTACTCCACATGGGCCGTGACAAAGCAGGTAATCACGTATGACCTATGTTCACAACGCTCTAACCACTACTCCACAAGGGCCGTGACAAAGCAGGTAATCACGTATGACCTATGTTCACAACGCTCTATCCACTACTCCACATGGGCCGTGACAAAGCAGGTAATCACGTATGACCTATGTTCACAACGCTCTATCCACTACTCCACAAGGGCGTGACAAAGCAGGTAATCACGTATGACCTATGTTCACAACGCTCTAACCACTACTCCACATGGGCCGTGACAAAGCAGGTAATCACGTATGACCTATGTTCACAACACTCTATCCACTACTCCACATGGGCCGTGACAAAGCAGGCAATAACGTATGACCTGTGTTCACAACGCTCTATCCACTACTCCACATGGGCCGTGACAAAGCAGGTAATCACGTATGACCTATGTTCACAACACTCTATCCACTACTCCACATGGGCCGTGACAAAGCAGGTAATCACGTATGACCTATGTTCACAACGCTCTATCCACTACTCCACATGGGCCGTGACAAAGCAGGTAATCACGTATGACCTATGTTCACAACGCTCTATCCACTACTCCACATGGGCCGTGACAAAGCAGGTAATCACGTATGACCTATGTTCACAACGCTCTATCCACTACTCCACATGGGCCGTGACAAAGCAGGTAATCACGTATGACCTATGTTCACAACGCTCTATCCACTACTCCACAAGGGCCGTGACAAAGCAGGTAATCACGTATGACCTATGTTCACAACGCTCTAACCACTACTCCACATGGGCCGTGACAAAGCAGGTAATCACGTATAGACTATGTTAACAGTCAACTGTTCCTAACACTGTGATGAACGTGGGAGCATACACAAATGTAAGGAAGAGAATTTATGGATGTCAACTTCTTTATTATGAGGAACACAACGTTTCGGAGTGTATGCATACTCCTTCATCAGCTGAGTGATGATGATAAAGAAGTTGAAATACATCAATTCTCTTCCTTATGTCTGTCACTTCTAAATGCCTTTCAAAGACTTGATACACAAATGTGTCTGTGTGTACATGCATGCATACATGTATGCATTTACCTGTGTCTACCTGTGTCTACCTGTGGTCACATCATGTGTCACTTCATATAGTTACAAAACTGATACAAACAACACATTTACCTGGAGGTATAGTATTTTATTATTCTAGTTTTATTAAAAGATAAGCATAAAAAAACAGACACATGCATCCCATTAATATTGTGACAGATAACAGTATTGCAAGCACGGTCTTTCGAATCTTACCCCAACACACACCCTTAATTCATATATGAACAGAGCAAGTCTAAAAACCTTTAGAATATGATGACTTTCTTTTGTATTTCTGTAAAGATTTATTAAAAGAATAAATAACACAGATCCCCACCCCTCTGATTCCTATGCATTACATGACTACCTTAGCCTATAATTCTGATATTTTTTTTCAAATTTTTCATTAATTAAGGAATGTAGTTCATCACAAAGAGCTTGTATGGGGGCACTGTCAGACAGCTTCTTGACACTTCGGAGCAGTGAAGCTGATCTGTACACAGTCTCATACTGGTGTTGATAATCGCCTGTCTCAACAAATAATGTCTTCCTGTCCACTTGCTTCATTGGTGAAAGCTTTTTTATCTGATTCTGTAAGGCAGTGGAAAAAATCGGCAACAAATCTTGAGTGTCATCATCAGTTGTCTCCCTTGTGAGCAGACGGTCTAGGTGGCCACAACACAGGTCAACCAACAAGATGTCCTCTCGGTATGAATTCATCTCTCCCTTGTCAAACAGACGGACACCCTCACTCTGTACATATTGGAGAGACAAAAATCAATATTTCACACATCTCTCATTTGTGAAATAAACAAAGACGAATAATATATAAACTTCAAAATATATAGATCTAAAACAAAAAAGTAAAACTTCTGTCTGTGAACCCTGCCTTGAAATGATTAAATCCATAACCCCTTGCGAGGAGTATTAAATAATGTTCTATTTAAGGGTTAGGGTTAGGGTAAGGTTGCCCAGGCAAAATGTTAAGCTGGAGTTACACATGGAATTCTTTCAGTTGACCTTCAGAAAGAATGCATGTTTAAAATTTTGAAGTCTTATAAGGAAACAAGGAAAGTGAAGTAGATGAAAAATAAACTTCAATACTTCAAAATAAGAATGCACATGCTTCTATAACAGTTATTGAAGTGATTATCAATACAGGAAATGTTGGATATTTAATGACAAATTTTAGTATGTGGCGATAGAAGTTAACACTGAAATGATTCACTGATGCATTGCAAAATGAAACTGAATGGAGCACTTTATTCTGAATTTATACTGCCATTTCACAAATTGTTTTTACCGGTAACTGCACATCTAACGATGATCCGAAATGTGGTACTGTTGGCCATTTTGGTTATATCATAGGAAGTACATTATGTACACCGGGTATTGCTGTAAAATAACATAAACAGGCAGCTCGGGAAAACATATCAGCTTTGTATACCTGCGATTATTAAAAAGAGGAATAAAATTAAGAAATTATTCCCATCAACACTTGTGGCTTCAGTGTATCATTTTAGGCAAGTATGACTTCGCTGTTCCATCACCTGTTCTTCCTCCCTACTCTCTGTGATCCATCTTGTCAATGCCGCCACGCACCCAACACCGTCCCGTGCACCGTGGTGGTCACTCAGCTGGATCATCAGCCTCTCCAACACCAAGGTCGGCTGTAGGTCATCTGAATATCAAGTAGATGCACTGTAGATGATTTCAAAACAAAAAACCTATCCAATAGGTCTTATCTAGTCCTTAATTCCTACTGAGCGAATAATTAGTACACAGGTATAAAACTAAGCCAAGATTCTGTTTCCGGATCCAACAGCTGTTATGACATTATACATCTCTTGGACCATGTTGATTGTTGCTTTCACCAGGATTCCAGCCATATCAAGGCAGGAACACACCAGTAATGGGATTCACACATGTCGGGAATCAAACCCAGGTCTTTGGCATGACAAGCCAATGCTTTAACCGCAAGGCAACCTCATCGGCCTTTGACCATGTTGAGAGAGAGACGTGTCTTACTATACACTTTTGTGGTGTCCAGGGCTGGGAGAACCAAGGCTGCAGTTTCCTTCACATCCAGATCATCCTCTTGTAGAAGGTCAATGGCAACCTCCCACATGTCAAATGTAAGCTGACCTGAGAACAAAATTAACATGCAAACACTTTATTTCTTTATAAATATTACTGGAAAATGTTCTCACCTTATCCTAGTGTGGCCTAAAATAGACTCTAAACCCAAACTGTTATCAACACCAAATTCCTGTAAGAATATTCCTCATATCAACTGACACAAAATCCTGATGATGAAGGACTGAATGTTGTATATTTGTTCGATGATCTGCATAGGCAGATCCAAAGGGGGGTCAAGGGGTCCCGCCCCCCTCCCCCCTTTTGGAAAACCAAATGTAGTAGTATGTTCTAGGTATTAAAACTGACTGAGAGAGAAGTCCAGGAGAAGAATTTTCATATTTTGGACCCCTCACTCTTGAAAATGCTGGATCCGCACTTGATCCGCACCAGGGTAGAGAGAGACACAGAGAGCCAGGTCACACATTGTGAGACTCGAATCCTCCTTTAGTAGGCTCTTTGTCATGGGGTACATGAACCTTTTAGCCCCACAATACAGACCCCATCGCCAAGTACACTGAATATAACAAACTTGCACTTTTGCACAGTGAATGCTGCGCTATACAAATGCATATATTATTATAATTATTATTATTATTATTATGTGTGAAGATCCGGGATAGGCCTTCAGAAACCCATGCTTGTTGTAAGAGGCGATTAACGGGATTGGGTGGTCAGGCTCGCTGACTTGGTTGGTGCATGTCATCGTATCCCAACTGAGTGAATATATGCTCATGACTCACGATTGGTCCAGACTCGATTATTTACAGACCGCCGTCATATAGCTGGAATATTGCTGAGTGTGGCAGTAAACAACAAACAAACAAACAGAAGGAGATGCAACTTACACAAGAGACATTGAGGATCCAGCAACAGAATGGCCGCATGCTGCTGAAGCAGAGATGCACAGCAGAGCTGGAGGTCCGCACTCTGTGCTGTCTGACTGCACCCCTGGAACACCCTGCACCACTCCTCCATCACTGCAGCAACATCAGCAGCCTTGGACTGCAACAACACACTCAAGATGAACAAACATGCAGGACACTCATCCACTCACATAGGACACTAACAGGACTTTCAGGGAAGCTAAACACAGATGCCTTTACTTCCTAACCCTGGGAATGAGTGGTCAGGCTCGCTGACTTGGTTGATGCATGTCATCACATCCCAACTGTGTAGATCGAAACTCATGATGTCAATCACGGGATTGTCTGGACCAGACTGGATTATTTACAGACTGTCATCATATAGCTGGAATATTGCTGATGTAGCGGCCATAAAAGTTCTGAGTCCCGTGATGGGATTCGAACCACGGACCCTCTGATCAGAGGTTGGACGCCTTGTCCACATGACCAAAGAGGTTAACCCCGTCAGCAAGCGGACAAGGTAAGGATGTCATCTGTGGGACGACTCCACGCCCTGCTACACTGAGTGCGGCGGTAAACAACAAACAAACCAACAAACTTCCTAATACAATAACGTTATGTCTTCTCAACCATCTTCAATGTAAAAATCTATAGAAATCTCACCTGGGCGACAAGGTTGTACATCATCGGCAGGAAGACACCAGAGAACTCTAACATGGCCGCCTTCACTTCCACTCTGAAGTGGAGGAAAACAGGGAATAAAACAGTCTGTAGTTTTGATATTGTTGAACATGCACATAATGGTGTTGTAGGTTTATCGCAAGAGGAAAACAGTTTGATGTTTCATCAGGCCATACTCCCATTGTGATAGACCTACAACAAATTTATCTTGCCGCCATGATTGACTGAGTTTGAGATGCAAAGAATTTGTTTGTCACCATATTGCCAGACAACCATTTGTATACCCGTAGACTCTCTGCATCACGTGCATCTAAAGTCAATGTAAACATACATTATGCAACACTGTTTTAAGGTAAGGAGCTTCAACTGTAGAGATTACAGATTTCAGCAAAATGTCTGTTGCCATGACAGCAGCGTATATTTTTTTTCATATGTACATCATTTATATTCAGATTTATATGGATGGATGGATGGATGGATGGATGGTTTATATCCCTGTCTCCTCGATCCAATCATTCCATGTAAGTGACATCAACAATGTTACCATGGTTACAAGACTCTTACGTGAATGAATGAGTATCATATTACCTTACTTCCAACTTCATCTTTTTCACTATCAGCTCAAATGTCTGGAACAGAAATGCAAATTTAACACTTTCTTCCTTAATTACCTCATAAAAACAACAACTTCTATATGCATGAATGAATGGCATACTTGTGTGAATACCTAAACAAAGAATACCTGTCATGATGTATGTTTGTATGTATGTATTTACGTATATGATGTACTCGTTCCCTTATATGTAACGTTGCCACATGTACATGTAAAAAACGTTAAACAAAATATAACTAAAACATATATGTGTGACACTATATATACCTCATGTTTTTGTAATGTAGGGATGTCAATTTACCCTGCCTTGTAGTTTTCATTAATCCTGCGGGGTGGTCGGGTAGCCTAGTGGTTAAAGCGTTCGCACATCACGCCGAAGAACCGGGTTCGATTCCCGACATGGGTCCAATGTGTAGCCCATTTCAAGTGTCCCCCGCCGTGATATTGCTGGAATATTGCTAAAAGCGGCGTAAAACAAAACTCACTCACTCATTAATCCTACAGTCTAGCCTCCATTGATTGAGTGAGTGAGTATGGTTTTATGCCGCTTTTAGCAAATATTCCAGCAATATCATGGCAGGGGACTCAAGAAATGGGCTTCACACATTCTACCCATGTGAAGAATGGAACACGGTTCTTCGGCACGACGAGCGAATGCTTTGACCGCTAGGCTACCCCACCGCCCCTCTCCACTGATTGAAATGAAATCACATTCGCGCCAGGTTTTCATAAAAACTCACTGACTCTCCCTACTTTTGGATGATTGTCTGCCTGGCGTGAATGAACAAACCTTTCATATTTTATGATTCAGTGCTGTGACATTGACTGTAATTTTTTAAAGTCACATTTTTCTTGCATATATGACCATGACCATTGCTAAAGTACACAGTCAACAACACTCAAACCAATACGTAGCTCCACAGATCCTCTCAAACTCAATCACGTGTCAAGTGTTACCAACTTCAGTGACTGAAACCACTCAAAACAGCTGAAACAATGGACACTTTACCTTGACATCAGTTGTCTTGGCAGTTGTGTCAAATGATGAGCTGACGTACAAGACTTCATACACCTGAATACAAAGGAACAAAATATTCATACCCTACACCAACAGGAATCAGTGTCGATGATCACAGTCTCTGAAATATTACTTCATTATCAGTAGGGGTGACTATTGGTCTGGAAATCACTATTGCGATAACAATTGATACTGAAAGAAACTATTGCGATAACTACTGATATTGAAAGCAACTATTGTGATAAATATCGATAGTTTTCAGTGTATCATTTGAGATGGATTTTAGAGTTGAATTAAACCTTTGAACTGAAAGTTTCCTTTGAATGTGATAACCATAACAACAAATAAAAAGTAAAGTTTGAGATATGACTGATTTGTTTTTTCTTTACCCTAATAATTTAAGAAAATAAACTTCCACATAACCATGTGTAAATTACTACCACTCATGATCAAAAGATACCACTCATCATCAAAAGAAAAACAAATTTGAACAGCATTGCATGTATTTTATTGATATGGTAAACACAATCGAAACTATCGATATTCCTAACTGAAATCGATACTATTGATCGGAAACTGATTTAACAATCGATTTATTGACTTTAAGTGCTTACCAATAGCAATATATCGATATTTCAATTTATCGTGACACCCCTATTTATCATTGTCATTCTTCTTAAAGTTGAACACTTCTACTGAAATCTTAAACGAAGAAAAATTAGTAAGGTGTTCCTCCTTGTGTCATGTTAATTTGCTGTCAGTGAGTTTTGTTTTGAATGAATCAATGTTGTTTATGCCAATGTTAGCAAAAATCCAGCTATATCATAGCTGCCGGTAAATAATACAGATTTGCCAGGCAAACCATTGATTGATAATATGATTGCTAATCACCATTTTGGGTGTCATGACACAATCACCTTGGTCACAGGTAACAAGTATGGTGTACTGGGCACTTTAGCATGGAAAAAAATATTCAACATGATATCAACACTTACCATCGCGAGACACTCATGATGCCACTCGGACACCAACGCCATGTCCAGCAACTTCCTGTATATCGCCTCCGATCTTTGGAGTCTCTTTAATGTGTCTGCTGTCATCCCTGCACACTCTCCTTCCCTGTCCTCGTCACTTAGAATACCCCTCCGGCCAGACACTTGGCTGAAAGCCCTGCACAATGGCCTTAGCACAGATAGCCGAACTTCATACATCTCAGATCCAAGAAGATTGATAACCACATTCTCTTGACAATGTGATCCTGAATACATATCCACTTCAGATTGACCTTCACCTTGACCTTTCACACCTTGACACATTTGACCTTCACCTTTCTGACCTTGGCCTCCATATGTCATCACATGACACTCCATGTTTTTGTTGTCCGTCTGCCATGTCTTACTGTCAGTATCATGGTAATGTTTCAGACACAGGTGAGTAAGAGTTGTGGTGAATTCCGACAGAGCAGGGGTGTGACTAGAATACTGACATTTCTCTAACAGTTCCTGTTTTAATACTAGCTGAACTTGGTCCAGGAGTTTATGTGTGCTGTGCTCTATTTTATCTGTGTTTTGGCCAATATCAAGAAGGTGATCACAAATCTCCAGTGCAACTGTCCTGGTGACGACGCAGTTGTTAGCCCTGTAATAACATCATCAATATTTTAAAGCTGAAAGGTTGGCATTCAGTCAGCATGGTCAGATGTGCTAAAAATTATTTAAATTATCCATTTTTCCCATCGCCCCATCCTTGATGGATCTTGATAGTTAGCTTTCCACCCATTAGGTTAGTCATTAAAAAGAAATAGTGTGGGGTTTACCATCAAGGTTAGAATGATGTTTACCACTGAGGTTGGTGTGGTGTTTACCACTGAGGTTGGTGTGGAGTTTACCATCGATGTTAGAATGGTGTTTACCACTGAGGTTGGTGTGGTGTTTACCACTGAGGTTGTGGTGGAGTTTACCATCGATGTTAGAATGGTGTTTACCACTGAGGTTGGTGTGGAGTTTACCATCGATGTAAAAATGGTGTTTACCACTGAGGTTGGTGTGGTGTTTACCACTGAGGTTGGTGTGGAGTTTACCATCGATGTTAGCGAGGTGTTTACCACTGAGGTTGGTGTGGTGTTTACCATCGATGTTAGCGTGGTGTTTGCCACTGAGGCTGGTGTGGTGTTTACCATCGATGTTAGCGTGGTGTTTACAACTGAAGTTAGTCTGGTGTTTACCACTGAGGTTAGTGTGGTGTTTACCTGGTGGTCAGCCATGACACATCCAGCCAGCGTGGCAGCATGGCTGCCATAATGTCCTCCCTGGCCGCTGAGTTCATGTTCGGGACCAGAACCAACAGATGCTCCATCTGCAGTTGAGAAATAAAACTTCTGAAAACAGCTATTCAGCAGATATCAGACATTAATCAATTCGGTGAATCCCATAAGAAGGAGTTGCTGCTTGCAAACATAGAAACCTAATCAGGGCAAATCAAGGCTTCAAAACCACGTTCATAGGTTTCTGGAACACCAAAACGATTTAACTCTGCACAACTGATTGCTGTGCCTCATTGCAAACAATGTATAATAAATGGTATTAAATATAAGGCATAGAACAAGTTTCTTTCCTATTATTAATTATGACATTTGAAAAATGTAGGTTCATAAATAGAAAAAAAACATTCCCAAAGATAATAATGTTACTTTCTTTACCTGAAGCAGAACACCATGTATGTGGCTTTGCCTTATCTCATTGGCTGTTTTGTCTGGCAACCTAGCAACCAGTTGCAACAGAAGGGACGTCATCTGATCCTTAATAGCCAATGGCTGTAGTGCTCGGGCAGCCATCAGTCTTGTCTTGAACACTGGACTTGAGGCACATCTGAAATATTTCCCTACTGTAAAACTTGTCTTCCAGCCTTGTGCATCTCTAGATTGTTTAAAGTCTTTTTGGGCAAGTACTTTCTTGCAACAAGCACTACTAAACAAGCATGAAATACTCAAATCCCCCACCAATATGACATGTCCAGTTGTGTGCAAGGCAAGAAATATTGTATGGTTTTCAAGATCTGCTCTGGAAACGAGCACTATTGCCATTTTCAGACAAAGTCGTTGCTATGGAAAATCCCAAACTATCAAAAGGCACAAGTTCACCACTACTATCTATGTGCAAAGTTTGGTGAAGATATCTCTCATGGTTTTGTAGTTCTGCTCCAGAAACCAAACGTGACGGAAGGATGGGAGAACGGACCGACAGCAACCATTCCTAAATCACCCTTCCACTTTCGTGGCGGGGGATATTAAAGGCAAACTTCTAGACCTGGACATTGAATAGGACCTATAATATCTGTTTCTATGGATCGCAATACACCATAAGGCACAATGATTGGTCATTTCTCTAACAGCTTCTGAACAATCAAACAATGTGAAAATTACTTAATAATCTAATATTATATTACTTAACATATATAATCAAGATAAACAAATGAGCTTAATAAATGTTTGATGTTTTGAGCTCCATGTTTTCATATATGTATGTTTTAAAAACGGAATAGGGACATCCACTTCACACAGCAAGATGCGGGGGTTAAAATTAGGTATGATTGTTTGTGTAAAGGGCAGGCGCAGAACACAACACTTACTTCAACACGAACGGAATGAATGCAGCCAGGTTGAGATGTGTGTCAGCGCCCTCTAGTGAGGAGGGGAAGAGTCGTCCCAGCACCATGAGCACCGGGTACAGGCTGGGGTGGAGGTGTAGCCGCTCACTACAGCTGAAGCAATAAAGAAACACTATCAACAATGACTCCAACACAGTCTCTCAGAATTAAAATGTCTTTCAGATTATTCAAATCCCGGTTCACCCCAATTATGTTTCTAGGTTTGTCAGCATCATACCCGTCCTCGTGGGTTTCACCGAAGTGGTAAACGAGACCTGCATCACTTCGGGCTTTCCTCCCACATGAAGCTGACACGCCGTGATATAACTGGAATACTGTTAAAAGTGGCGTTAAACCCAACCCACTCACTCACTCACTCACTCACTCTTTCAGATTATCTCAATATATTTGAGAAACATACCAAGCAAACAGTATTCTTTCTGTTAAATATAATAAAGGAAAAATCAACTTAGGCCATAACAAAATTATTCAATTACTCCTTTTTTTCACTCACTGACCCAAAATATATTTCTCAAATTATTAACAATGATTGTCTGTAGACACTAAAAGGGGACAGGGCATGCCTAGCAAGTCAGACTCCTAGTCTCGCCTTAAGGGTTCAACAGAGAATCTTTTTTTCGTCGAAGGAATATATTTATTCCTGGGAAGTAATTTGCAGCCATGGTCATATTCAGAGATTCTACCAATGAAATAAGCAAATCGATGTGGGCTTATTATTACGTAGATTCCAAATAGGTGGATGAGATAGTCATGTCATGCATGTTGGAGAGACACATACTCTATGTCCTGTGTGGCGTCATCCAGCTCTGACAACAGGAACTGATACAGAGACGGGTAGCGATGGAAGAAAGCACGGCCCGTCTGACTGAAAGTAGAATGCATCACTTTATTGGTCCATAAAACCGTTCATTGATTGTGACTTTATACTGTAAAAATTGCAAGGACATGTAAACAGAACTCCTTCTTGACCCAGGAATGTGCTGAACCATGAAGGAGTCTGCCTTGTACATGGAAGATTACACTCTTACGGCTACACTTATAATAGGACTTCATGTTCACACTAATCTGTTACGAAACAAGCAGAATTGGACTGTGAGAATATTAGACTCTCACACTCACCTATTGGTGTAATCATCAAATGTGCCCTGACTATCTGTGAGATATAGTATCAGGGCACACCCCTGCAAGATCATTGATACCTGCCAATCTTAATCAACACCACGACATCAACTAGATCCTACAGCTGCTCTTGTAACAGCTGCTCTTGTTCCAGCTGCTGTTGTTCCAGCTGTATTGCTCCACTTCTGTGGAAGTCTCTGCCTCATGATATTCGTCTCTTACCAACACCGACCTCCTTCATATTCAAGTTAAAGACCTTTCTGTTCCATAGCACAATCACTACTCACTTCTCTACTATTTGTACATAATGTAAATACTATTTTGTAGACGTTTGAGCAGATACTAGGCATTGGGAGTTCAGTGCATCATAAATAAACTTATTATTCATTATTCATATTTTATACAAGACAAAGGTAAATAAATAACACTTTTAAAGAGTTCATAATATCTTGTCAGGTAACCCTTATTGGCAGTGTGGACTCTATAGCAAATGCTGTTGCATTGAATTCTTCTGACAGATCATATGCCGACAATCTGTGCAAGATCTGCATCCTTTCCCTTGGAGGCAGATTACCTCCCCTTATCTTTTTTGACATCATGTCAGTGGTCAGATTTATTGAAAAGATGATGAGGACTATGGGTCCTGTTAACATCAACCACCACCCAAAACTTCAGAAACTGAGTTTTATCTGAGGTCACACATTTCAACTGCTCCCTAATATGATGAAACATATAAAAAACTGTCCAGCTACATCCAGGCTTCCATACCAGTTCTTCTTGGAGATGGCACTCTCATCCTTGCTTCTCTTAACACCAAATATCCTCGTCATTAATGCACTCAGTAGCAGGGTCGACGAGTTACGAACCTGCAACAAATATGTCTTTTTTAGTTTAAAAATATCATTATACTTATCCTTACTCATACTCATTATTTTATCTCATCTCATTCCGAAAAGGTAGTGGAAACTCCTGTGCTGTGTCCGCAAGAACAGAGAAAGACATCTCACCCGAACACAACCCTCAGCCACGCAGCAGCACCAGAAGCACGTGATCAAGCAGGTACACTCGTCACTCACTCATTTTGCTTACCCTTACGGTCAAAACACATATACTGTTTGTGATATGGTCCATACCAAAACTCTCAGATGTTTGGGTTTGGATGAAGCTGTCTTGAGTGAGGATGAAGAAGTAAGTTTGACCAATTTGGAAGTTGTAGTACCGGATTCTCCGCTAGGGTGATGAGGTCTGGAAACCAGGTTCTTGCCGGCCAGTAAGGTGCGACCAAAAGCAGTATAAGTAATTTTGTGTGTCTTACTTTCGGTAGGACTGATGTGACAGTGCTGGCAGGGGGAATTACGCATAAGCGTGAAGTCCTTCCAATGGTATTGCCAGTGCTTTGTTGGCCAAAGCTAGAGGGTCTGGAATATCCCTGGAGAAGAAGGTCCTTATTTGATTGTTCGAATCTAGTAGCATATAGGTCCACTGATGGGCAACCTCCTGGCCAGCTGGAATGCTTCTTGATGAAGCATGGCGTGGATAGGGCATCACCTAGCACGTTTGAAATTCCAGGTATGTCTTGCCTTTATCTTTAGATTGAGGCTGTCTGTGAGATGAGGTGACTTGGTCGTCCCTTGGAGATTTACGTAGAAGGTCACTGTCGAGTTGTCCATTCTGGTCATCAGAAACTGGTTTGTCAGTCAAGGTGGCCGAGTGGGTTATAGCCCAGGACACTGCCTCGAACTCCAACTGATTTATATGGAGGAGCTTCTCTTCTGTTGACAATAGCCCTGAAGCTACCTCCAAGTCGAGGTGGCTGAGTGGGTTATAGTCCAGATCACTGCCTCGAACTCCAACTGATTTATATGGAGGATCTTCTCTTCTGTTGACAATAGTTCTGAAGCTACCTCCACGTCGAGGTGGCCGAGTGGGTTATAGCCCAGGACACTGCCTCGAACTCCAACTGATTTATATGGGGGAGCTTCTCTTCTGTTGACAATAGCCCTGAAGCTACCTCCAAGTCGAGGTGGCTGAGTGGGTTATTGCCTTGAACTCTAACTGATTTATATGGAGGATCTTCTCTTCTGTTGACAATAGTTCTGAAGCTACCTCCACGACGAGGTGGCTGAGTGGGTTATAGCCCAGGTCACTGCCTCGAACTCCAACTGATTTATATGGAGGAGCTTCTCTTCTGTTGACAATAGCCCTGAAGCTACCTCCAAGTCGAGGTGAGCTCCCCAACCCTGTACTGACACGTCCACATACAGGTAAAGGTTGAAAACCGGCTCAATCAAAAAAGTTTCTCCGGAGACAATCGACTTGATTGTCCACTAGTGAAGGTGAGCCAGAACCATTCATAACTCTCATCCAGCATTTACTTCTGAAATGAGGAAAGAATGTTTCAAATATTAAGCCATTAAAATTTACCGCCCAAACTTGTGACTTGAATCCTAAGATGGCCGCCTTGAGCCCGTCTGCTATGTAGGGAACAACATCTTCCCCTAGCCTTGTGTCCCGGAACAATGCCCGCAGGATGTTTAGAGAGTGAACCTGGCAAACAGACAAACAAATTTGTTTCCAGATATCCTGCACTAATTCTAAAACACAATTACTTGGGTAAGAAAAGAATTGAGCAAAAGAGCAAAAATTATTTCTGCCCATTTTCAGATTAATTTTTTCAGATTGACTCAATCAGATGTGACTTAAATTCTCACTCACAGCAAAGTCAAAGGTCACAAATTTCACATTAAGTAATTATTGTTTTCTGTTAGCAGGGCGGCAGAAAGAAGATGCAGTACCTGTGCGTTGTTCATCTGTGTCCTGCTGCTCTGTGTGAGAGCCAGCATGAGCAGACGTGTCATGGCCGACTTGAAACACACTCTACCTGTCGACGTGGGCTCAGTTGTCACGAGGGCCTGTTACACAAGGAAGTCACATGTATGTATATCTTCATACTTCACTGGACATGTGTCCTACCATGGTATAACCCAATACTATGACAACATTCAGCGTAATCACCCAATGTAACCATTTCAACTTGCATACTGGCTAGCGACCAATTATCACCAAGGACCAATTATTGCCAATTCCCCGTTATCATGGTTATAGCGCACATGTGATTGCATCTAATTTTACTTTTATTCGTTTTAATTAGAAGTGAGAAATATTTATCCGAAAATGAAGAACAAAATAGACTCTTGTGAGGAAAAATTAAACAGAACCACCACAATCACCTTGCTCAAAAACAACTTTTGAAAAAACACACAGGCAGTGTCACATGACTAATTCATGCAAAAATATAAATCAAACAGCACTATGATGCACTTTCAGTTCTGTCATTGCTTTCTTTCTGAATACAATTCTGAAAACTTATTTGAGCTATATTTCCAAAACTAAAAAACCTATATATATATCTCGAAATCCATAGTACATAGTGTTAAGGATAAGAATGTGTAGATCAAATTGGGGGAATGTTGTTTTTTGTCAGTTTGCAGACAACAAATTGATAATAGCATTTCTTATCCAATTTGATGAATAAAAAAATTGAGTGCGATACCCGAGGTATAAAAAAATGTAATTTTTATAACTGAAGTGGTGCACGTGACTATGTGGCACATGCTGTTAAGATGATGGCGATGACTGGTACAGTAAGTCGACAGGAAAGTTCTATTTCCACTGTTTTGATTCCCCATCATTGCATTATAACAGAAATCAAATGAATTTTATTCCACGGAGAGAAATAAGCGCATCTGCTCATAGTTTCACCCAAAATAAAGTTATTGCTACAGTCAACTTTGTACACGGAATATGTAAGAAATAACATGAAGAAAATGGAAATAACTGATCGGTGTTGAGTACATATATTTCTTTACTGATCGAATGCAGTCATCACACGTACATAAACTGCAATGAATAATGCATAAAAAGGTTCTAAGTCCTGCTTATTGTTAATCACACATGAATATTGTTGTTGTGAGATTATGCAACATGTTACACATTTCTGGCAGTGCACGAACTGTTGATAAGATTTAACAGTCACATTGAAAATGACTATCATACCAAGGAAAGTTTTATTGATGAGATAAACAAATCCGATAAACGTGGTATCATGATTCAATTAAATATGCACATGATTAGACTAACATCCAGTCTCTGAAATGAACATTTTTAAAAAAACAAAACAGTTTTTAACTTATAGTCATAAAATATAATAAAAAAGAGCCCAGAGACTTTCTTCATTTTCAGATACTGCAGTAATCTAGACTTGCCAAACAATATAGACTTGCATGGGCTGGATTGGATATATTTATTTCAGTGAGTGAGTGAGTGAGTATGGTTTTACGCCGCTTTTAGCAATATTCCAGCAATATCACGGCGGGGGACACCAGGAATGGGCTTCACACATAGTACCCATGTCGGGAATCGAACCCGGGTCTTCAGCATGACGAGCTCCCACTGACCTGTACGTAGAAGGGCACGCCAGCACTGCGCCGAGTTGCACAGAGCCGGGAGTCAGGGTCGTCACTGATGATGTCAGCCATGACCTCCTCCAACCACTTACTCGGCAGACCATGGAGATCCACACTTGGATCCCTGGAGTGAAAACACAGACATCAAACATTGAAGAAAGGTGAGCTCTACAAAATGTGTGACAACCTGCCATAAAACAACCAAATATTTTACCCACAAAAGTGTTCTTTATATGTGTAGTGTAGTGGAATTTAACGTCACATTCAAGATTATTGCACTTTAATAGGGACATGCATGCACATCTATATGGCTGCTTCTACTAGAATGGGCCTACACTGGTTTTATAGAACAAGGCCAGTTTAATAAGGAAGTGTTCAAGTTCTAGGTACATCATGTAGTTAGTCGAGTTCAATGTTCTGTAGCATTACCAAAGCACGAAACAAGCTGCACTCATGCAGGGTCTCGTCTCAAGGTAATCACAGTGCAACTATATATTGATTATGTTACAGTGTGAGGGTTGTGATACTTTATACAGTGAAACCCTGTTTATCTGGATGGTACTGTTGCCAGTGAAATCAGCCTGATCACTTTGTCAGATTAACAAATACCAGTTAGAGAAACGTGACTTACTTATCTATTGCTTTACACAGAAAAACAGGGTCCAGACTAATGAGGTTACACTGTACATTGCTAAGATCACTTTGTGGAGGGCCAAGAACAACATTTATTTGTTTTATTATCTACGAGGGCAAACATATCGAGGATCATAAAAATCATATGTGCCCTAGGGTCAACAGAGTATTGTTTCCGTCATCCGGACGGCATTGTTGACGTCATTCGACAAATTGTGCTTCCGCTGCTGTAGCGACTTGCTGTCCTTATAGGTAAACACGAAAAATTCATCTCTGTATGTAGACATCTTCTTCGGTAATAAATAGAACATTATATGAGTGTTCATGTCATACTATGTTTAATACACTCATAGTACCACATCAACACAGATAACATCCTCTCTGTATTGCACTCAGCAATATTCAACCTATATGATGGCTGACTCTAAATAATCAACCAAGTCACAGAGCAAACCAATCCATTTCTTCAACTCTTACAACCAGGATAGTTTTCTGGGGACCTATTCTAACCCAAAATGCCCATGGGGTCCAAGGACAATGGCTACAATGTACCAACCTCCACAACATTTCACACATCTTGACAAATCCGGCATAGGCCAACTCAAAGGCTCCCCTGTGCTTCGACTCCAACAGCTGTGTGGTGAAGTAGCTGCCTAGAGCTAGGATCTGTAACACAGGGCATCACAGGGCATCAAGGGGCATCAAGGAGCATCACAAGGCAACACAGGACGTTACAGGGCATAACAGGGCAACACAGGGCATTACAGGACAACACAGGGCCTCACAAGCCAACACAGAGCATCGCAGGGCATTACAGGGCCTCACAAGGCAACACAAGGCATTACAGGGCATAACAACGCAACACATGGCATTACAGGGCCTCACAGGGCAACACAGGGCATCACAGGGCAACACAGGGCAACACAGGGCATCACAAGCCAACACAAGGCATTACAGGGCATAACAAGGCAACACATGGCGTTACAGGGCATCACAGGGCCTCACAGGGCCTCAAAGGGCATCACAGGGCATCACAAGGCAACACAAGGCATTACAGGGCATAACAAGGCAACACATGGCATGACAGGGCATCACAGGGCAACACAGGGCATCACAGGGCATCACAGGGCAACACAGGGCATCACAAGGCAACACAAGGCATTACAGGGCATAACAAGGCAACACATGGCGTTACAGGGCAACACAGGGCCTCACAGGGCATCACAGGGCAACACAGGGCATCACAGGGCATCAAGGAGCATCACAAGGCAACACAGGACGTTACAGGGCATCACAGGGCAACACAGGGCATTACAGGGCAACACAGGGCATCACAGGGCAACACAGGGCATCGCAGGGTAACACAGAGCATCGCAGGGCATCACAGGGCATCACAGGGCATCACAAGGCAACACAAGGCATTACAGGGCATCACAAGGCATCACAGGGCATCACAGGGCATTACAGGGCAACACAGGGCCTCACAGGGCCTCACAAGGCATTACAGGGCATAACAAGGCAACACATGGCGTTACAGGGCAACACAGGGCATCACAGGGCAACACAAGGCAACTCAAGGCATTACAGGGCATAACAAGGCAACACAGGGCAACACAGGGCATCACAGGGCAACACAAGGCAACACAGGGCATCACAGGGCAACACAGGGCAACACAGGGCATCACAAGGCAACACAAGGCATTACAGGGCATATCAAGGCAACACATGGCGTTACAGGGCATCACAGGGCATCACAGGGCATCACAGGGCAACACAAGGCAACACAAGGCATTACAGGGCATAACAAGGCAACACAGGGCAACACAGGGCATCACAGGGCAACACAAGGCAACACAGGGCATCACAGGGCAACACAGGGCAACACAGGGCATCACAAGGCAACACAAGGCATTACAGGGCATATCAAGGCAACACATGGCGTTACAGGGCATCACAGGGCATCACAGGGCAACACAGGGCAACACAGGGCATCACAAGGCAACACAAGGCATTACAGGGCATAACAAGGCAACACAGGACGTTACAGGGCATCATAGGGCAACACAGGGCATCACAGGGCATCACAGGGCAACACAGGGCATCACAGGGCATCACATGGCAACACAAGGCAACAAAGGGCCACTGTAGCAGTTGGACACAGTAACACTATGTGGAACTGTTCATAAACAATTATAATTGAATAAACATGAAAAACAACGACTTTTCAATTCTTCCTTTTCAGGCTTGGACCAAAGTCTGTGCTTGTTGCTTCAAGTCCAATCTCAACCAGATAACATATGTGTATATTTGATACCTGCTGACTGCTGAGGAAACCACTGTTGCCAACTGTTGCCTCGAGACAGATTTGGCCCAGGATGAGAGAGACCTCTTTGATGCTACGCCAGCAGCACACCACAAGATACTCTGGCATCAACGTCACCATCTTCTCACTCTCCGCAGCCTCCAGCAGCAGCTTCTTCTCCTCCTCCGACTGCACAACAGCGTCAACATTCAGGCCAGGACCTGTAAATATACAACCCTCATCATCAATACTGACCTGATCTTCTAACTTAGATTTCTTGAAAATGGTGCAAGACCAATCAGTTGGCCACTTTATTGAAATATTTTTTTAAGTTGTGTATGTCAGAAGCTTGTATCTGTCCCGCCTTCATACAACTTTCTAACTTCCAACACAACTATATGGCAGACCAAGCACTATCAGGGATCAACAATTTTCTCTTTAGAGTGAGTGAGTGAGTATGGTTTTACACCGCTTTTTAGCAACATTCCAGCAATATCACGGCGGGGGACACCAGAAATGGGCTTCACACGTTGTACCTATGTCGGGAATCGAACCCAGGTCTTCGGCGTGACGTCCTCTTTAGAGAAGGATCTTGGATTATAACTTATATCAGGAGGTTTTCATTCATTTCATGCATTTTTTAACTAACTTTGGATGGTATACTATTTTACATATTTTAGCAATAATGTACATTATCATGCGACTATGTAACCTAAGAAATCTCACAAAACGAATGAATCGTACTTAATCCTGGATGAAAACGATTGCATGTGCGCCTAAACAGAGACTTTCTAATGCTGGTCTAAGCTACAATTCCATTTAACATGCCACATCGGATCCTGCCCATTCCAGCATTTAAATATGACAAGCTCACAGGCTGCCACTCCTAGCAATGAACACACAGGCTACACATGATCTTTATCGCCCTACAACTAATGTTAATAGTATAGAGGTATACACAGCATCTAGCATGTAGATCCTTACCCATGATGGCCTCAGTTGGCACATTGCCCTCTGGTGAGGAGTCCTGTACAACAGGGGAGACAACTCTAGCCAAACCAAGACAAGCCTCCATCAATTCTTCCATGAAATGTCTCCAATGAGGAAGAATGTTGTCTGGAATATTTCTGTTCCAAGGAGAAAAAATGAAAAAAATACAGAATAAAACAATCACAAATTTCCAATACACTTGCAGTAAGGTCGCAGAGTGCATTTGGCAGTTTTCATGATACATGTATCATGTCTATTTCTAGTCTAACGAATGTGAGTGAGTGAGTTGGGTTTAACGCCGCTTTTAACAGTATTCCAGTTATATCACGGCCTGTCAGCTTAATGTGGGAGGAAAGCCCGAAGTGATGCAGGTCTCTTACCACTTCGGTGAAACCAACGAGCACGGGTATGGTGCTGACAAACCTAGAAACATAATCAGGGCGAACCGGGATTCGAACCCACAATCATAGGTTTCTGGCGTGCCCATGGATGCAGCTCTGCACAGTGAATCGCAGCGCCTTAGACGCCTGGGCCACCCGTGCCACCTCTAACGAATGTGATGTGTTCTGTGTGAACATGGGGCAGTCTCAATGCGGTTATTGTAGTCAGTAATTTCTTTATTTGAACTGGAATACAAAACTTCAAATAAGAAAATCTGGAGATTTTATAGGCACTTCAAGCAAATCTTGATCTCCCAGGAGCACGATGTTGTAAAAATTACCTGATGAATCTTGCTAGGATTTCATTTCACCAGATCCAAAATTCTCTTCAGTAATTACATGCATCTGAGATAAGCAAAGCTATTATAAACTTACCTCAAATCCACATCAGACAGGATGTGGCGTATACAATGCATTGTGGGATACATAGGCCGATTTGCAGCAGCAACTATCAAACTTTTCCTGGCAACAGCGGTTTGATCCCTCAGAGACAGCAACAAAATCGTCAGCAACATCAGCTCAGGGCAGCAATATGTTGTCTGGTCACTGTCCGGTGCTGACAGTATTTTGAGGTCAAGGACATATGCCTTCATGACCTCTACTACAGCTGGTTGCTGCAGCAGGACCTGGAAGATGTGGGATCCAGTCGTACAGTCATGAGGCTTTGTGCTCCACGACAGCTCCATTGCAGCAGAGAACAGGCTCCCCAGCTGGGACTTCGTCTGTACAACATTCACGAGTGTGTGTGAGTCAGTGCGTGAGTGTGGAAAGGATGGGGGGAAGGAGCTGGGACCAACCATCTGATATTTTGTGTGTGTTTTGGGGTGGGGTTTACCCGATTTGTTTGTTCATTGTTTAACGCTGCACTCAAGCCATATGATGGCCATTAGTAAATGATTTAATCTGGACCAGACAGTCCTGAGATTGACGTCATGAGCATTGATCCAGACATTTGGGATACGATGACATGCATCAACCAAGTCAGCGAGCCTGACCACTCGATCCCGTTAGTCGCCTCTTACGACAAGAATGGGTTGTTGAAGACCCAATTCTAACCCAGATCTTCCCAGGTAAATTTTACCTGATAAATTGTTTGTACCTGATAAATTGTTTACACTGGACATGTTGGATTGTTCTGTTCCTCTTTTCACAGAAAAAAAATACATGTTTTGAAATAGTGAACGAAAAATAAAAATGCCAGGCCCCCCTGAATATTCAATGGTTGGTCCCTTAGAAAAGCAATTTTGCAGTATACTTGTGTCCTTTGGGGATAACATGTGAGGATTTTTTAAAATTAGAAGCAATAATATGAAGGTACAGATGAGATCACATGCAAGACCAGAGGAGGTTACCTGTGTGTAGAGCAGAGATAACAATATTACTTACATGCATACTACTGCCATGCTTGAAACAAAACGTCATAATCCGTACTGCAGCAACTTTGTTTTCCTCGAACGTGTCAGTGAGGCATTCCATTAAGGTGTTGATATGACTGGCATCAACCAGAGATGAGAACTGGTACAGCTCCTTACCATCTGGACACAGGAAGAAATCATGTAAAAACTTGCTGATGAGGACTATAAGAACAGACATGATGAATGGTTTCCCTATAATTCCTTCTTCTCCACATGATCCTACATGCACAAGTGCATGTGCCTGTCATATCTAGTAGCAGTGGCTCTCAGATCATAGTGACTCTCAGTGACCCTCCTGTTGACCAATCAGATTCCACCTCTCATATCCCCTGCATTTGCTTAAAAAATATGGAAGCACGCGGTCAAGAAGATCTGATCTATTATCAAAAGCTATATTGTAATGAAACATTGATAAAAATCCTATCTGTCAATGCCCAGTTGGCAGTACAGATGCTTTGCAAATCCTGCAATGGACCGAAATTAGTCCAGCCAAAATATAACAGCCTAGTTTACAAGGGTGGTTTGGATTTTTACTGTCAGTTAACAGCCTTGCTTCAGGAAAATGAATCATGTCAAACTTTAAGTTTTGAATTAATAAAACTTTGAGGAATGTTATCATCAGACAGACAGACAGACAGACAGACAGACAGACAGACTCACCTTTATAAGGGAAGACCTCTATGATGAGGACGAGCCCGGCCAGACTGGTCAACCGCCTCGCAAAGGCTGAGCCTGGATAGAGGTTCCTGAACAGGTGCGACTGTAGCCAGCGGAGGAAGGACTACAACACAGAGGCCACAGTGTCAGTGTTGGGGACCAACAACCTCATTAAAACCAGATCTTTCACTCTGACATATGCCTCTCTGCGTGAAGATCTGGTAACACCTCCATGAGAGCTTGGAACATCAGATCAAGTTAACTTTCTGATCAGCCAGTCAGTGTCAAGGCTTCGAAAATTTCGGTATGAGGAGTATTCAAACCAGAAAGAAAACATACTGTAAAGTAAACTTGTATCTCATTCAGCGACTGGGACCCAATCCATGGTGATCATGGCCGAAAAGATGCAAGGTTTCACACTTCTCTGGTTTCAGGGCACAAATATGAGTCTACAACAGAAAGGGCTGCCTCACCGTGTAAGACTCCAGTGTTCCTGCAGCTGCGTGGGACTCAGATGTCTGTTTGTTCCGGCCTGCCAGACGGGTGAGTGTGGCACCACTCTCCTTCAGTCTCGCTAACAACTGGAACAAATACCATGTGACACTAACAATCATTCAACTTTTACCAACCAAATGTCAAATACAGCTCACCTCTTCAAAACGAAGAATATAACCTTTCCTTCAAAATGTGGCTGAACCTCTCATCAAGATCTGCCTATTGGAAACAAAATTTGGCCTATTGGAAACCAAATTTGGTCTATTGAAAACAAAATTTGGCCTGTTGAAAACAAAATTTGGCCTATTGGAAACAAAATTTGGCCTATTGGAAACACAATTTGGCCTATTGGAAACAAAAAGTTGGCCCATTGGAAACAAAATTTGGCTTCTTGTGAAATTTATGCACAATTTTGGTATTAAATATACAGATACAGAAGGGGTTGCAGTGGTGCACACTTCCACTTTCTGAAGTATGCTGAAACATTTGACATTTGACTAGACTGGCTAGATTACCTTGAGTGAGTGAGTGAGTTGGGTTTAACGCCGCTTTTAACAGTATTCCAGTTATATCACGGCCTGTCAGCTTAATGTAGGAGGAAAGCCCGAAGTGATGCTGGTCTTAGACGTTTACCACTTCGGTGGAACCCACGAGCACGGGTATGGTGCTGACAAACCTAGAAACATAATCGGGGCAAACCGGGATTCGAACCCACAATCATAGGTTTCTGGCGTGCCCAAGGGACGCAACTCTGCACAGCAAATCGCAGGGCCTTAGATGACTGGGCCACCTGTGCCCCCCGATTACCTTGAAAATTACTGGCTGATAGCAGGCACATCTAACACATCTAATATGTTTCTTAACACTATCACAATCTTACACCCTTGAACTAACTGACCTTGTGCAGGTAAGCCAGCAGATACTGCCTGAAGGCTGGTGATTGGTTGTTAAGGTTGAGAGGCAGGAAGTATCGCAGCAAAGACAGTTCCAGCTCAGTGATTGGCTCTGTCATCTTCAAGTTTTCACATAACAGGGCAAAAGCATCCAATCGAATCTTCACGAAAGAAATGCAGTCACAGTTTCAATAAAGTCATGAATCACATTTAGTGCTATCCATATACATTAGGATTACTGAATAAATGCAAGTTTGGTTTAACCATTTCATGCTTCACCATTTTTATTCTTTATACTTTGCCACATCACATAACTTAAACATGCCAGTAGAGGTTGATTGTACATACACTCAGCAATATTCCAGCTATATGATGGAGGCTTGTAATTAATCGAGTCTGGAACCATTCAATCTCGTGATCGATATTGTTAGCAATGATCCACACCATCAGTGTACAATGACACACAATCAATAAAGTCACAGAGCCTGACCAGCCAATCTATTTGGTCACCTCTTACAACCAACATGGGTTGCTGGGAACCTATTCCAACCCGGAATCCCTGCCGGGTATGTCATAACAAGATGAGCTTATAACATGTGATATTCATAACCAATCAAGAAATTCTATAAAAGGAAAAGTAAGATTCCAACCTGTTCATCAGCACAGGTAAGAGCGTATCTGAGGACATCAGCACTAACAAGGCCGTACCACATCTCCGGATTATCTCCCTTTCCTGTAGAGGGCGTTCTGGGGGAGTTGAGAAGCCCCAGGGCTCGGGCTCTCCGGATGCACATCACCAGGGCACCAAGCTGCCCTCTCGACTGCCCATCTACAGCACACACACACCAGTTATAAAAATTTAACAGCTTATTAATACATTTGTACTTTGACTATGTGCTCTACCTGATCAGTCCTATCTACGTAACAGTCTGAAGCAGGTAAATTATTGACTGTCCAAGTGGATTACATCTCCATTCTACTCATGTTCCCAAGGCAAAGGAGTCAACTGACTATAAAAGTCCAGTTTCCCCCTTGCCAAACAAGGCTGGAATTCCTGGGCTTCACCAGGGGCTTTTACAAGTTATGTCCCTTTTGTGTCCCCACTATTGACCAATCAGATTCCACTTCTCATATTACTTGCATTTGACACTGGACTTTTAAAGTCAGTTAACTCTCTTTCCTCGGGAAGATGAATTCTATTTTGATAAATGCTCATTCACCAGACTTTACATGGGTTAACAGGTGATGTGAAAATTTTACGTTGTGGTAGACATTATAATACCGCGACAGGTGTTTTTGTCATTGCCGTCACACCATGTTAAGTGACACGTCTAGGTTCCTTCTTGGCTTTACACAGGGCCGGCACCATGCTTGGAGATGTGCTCATAAGCGCTACAAACAAGTGTACCAAAGAGCACAGAACAACTGACATGGTGGTGACTCAGTGATGAAGTGGGATGGCATCACCCACAGCAATAGGACAGACATCATCCATCTTGCAGCTCAACTCACAGAGGTTCACAGTCCAGTTTATCATTCATGGCACCCTTTATGAGCCGGATTGGTTGCCAGTTTGAACTCCAAACAGGATACCATCTGCCCACACACTTGTCTGTCAAAGGGCTTGGCTGCTCATGGTCATGACCTCAAACCCATTGAACATCTATGGGATGACCATGGACGTCATGTGCACCAACATCTGGCAGCTCTGACACTCGTGATATATTTACTCTAGACATATTTAAGCACTGACATAAGAGCCTGTGGTAGCTCCTCACAATCTAGACCATCTCATTGCAAATCTGAAAAATGGAGTGGCTCTGGAACCCAAGGGCCCCCAACCAGAGGATGCACAGACAATGTCTGGTAGTTGTCCAGGTCCAAATGGGCCACAATTGTTACCGTAGTTTGAATCACTCAACATATCACATCCTTGGTGTTAGGACCGCCTCCATGGGTTAGTGGATAAAGTGTCTGTCTGGCGAGCAGTTGTTAAATTATCGTAATAAAAATATAATAAAAAGGAGTTCAGCGACTCTCTTCATTTTCAGATACTGCAGCAATCTAGACTTGTCCACTAAGATAAATTTGTTTCAGGGTCTGTATGACAGACGAGGCCCACCTGTGCTGGACAGCGTGCTGATCATGTAGTTGAGAGACTCCCTGCTGTACTTCAACAGCCGGGGCAACACATACTGGGTAACAGAAGGAAACACACTGATGAAACATCACATTCTGTTCATAAACAAATATCTAAATTGGCAAAATATTATTTTTTTGTGCCAAAGTTATTCAGTAGAACTTAACCCTAAAGGTATGTAAATCTACAAACTGAGCATATGTTGAGCAGAGGAATATAGTTTTTATTGTAACATATAATTTTGTTTGTTTGTTTGTTGTTTAACGTCGCACTCAGCAATATTTCAGCTAAAACAAGTATTTGTCACAGAGTGACGAAATATCCCCCGCCTGTACACCATAGTACCAAATATGAAGACAATCCAGCGATTAGTTCTTGAGATATTGTGGCAACACCGTTTTCCAACTCCAAAAACAGATTTGCCTGCTGTGACCTTGAAAATGGGGTCAAGGTCACCAAATCTGACAGGTGTATGCGGTGTCTGTATATACACTATAGTTCCAAATATGAAGACAATCCAGCGATTAGTTCTTGAGATATCGCAGCAACACTGTTTTCTAACTCCAAAAGCAGATTTACCTGCTGTGACCTTGAAAATGGGGTCAAGGTCACCAAATCCGACTGGTGTCTGCGGTGTCTGTATATACACCATAGTTCCAAATATGAAGACAATCCAGTGTTTGGTTCTTGAGATATCGCGGCAACACCGTTTTCCAACTCCAAAAGCAGATTTGCCTGCTGTGACCTTGAAAATGGGATCAAGGTCACCAAAACCGACTGGTGTCTGCGGAGTCTGTATATACACCATAGTTCCAAATATGAAGACAGTCCAGTGTTTAGTTCTTGAGATATCGCGGCAACACCGTTTTCCAACTCTAAAAGCAGATTTGTCTGCTGTGACCTTGAAAATGGGATCAAGGTCACCAAAACCGACTGGTGTCTGCGGAGTCTGTATATACACCATAGTTCCAAATATGAAGACAATCCAGTGTTTAGTTCTTGAGATATCGCGGCAACAAACAGGTGGGACGTACGGACGGACGTACAGACGTACGTACGGACGGTCGTGAATACTATATCCCCCGCTTCGCGCTTTCGCGCGGCGGGGGATAATAAAAATAATCGAGTCTGGACCAGACAATCCAGTGATTGACATTATGAGCATCGATCCACGCAATTGGGATCGATGACATGTATCAACCAAGTCAGCGAGCCTGACCACCCGATCCTGTTATTCGCCTTTTACAACAAGCATAGTCCCCTTTTACGGCAAGTATGGGTTGCTGAAGACCTATTCTACCCCGGAATCTTCACGGGTATTGTAACATATAAGGGTGATCCTGGTCACCAGTACCCCATGATTCCCAAACGAGAATGAAAATCAGGTGGTTACAATGTGTGCCCTGGCTGATTGTGTATCATACATTGCATCATGAAGTTACTGGGACATACCTCAATGACATGGAGCTTAAGTCTCTTGTTGTCCTGACAGAGAGTGTGGATGACAGGATCCACCCACGTAGACAGCCACGTGCTCAACCCTGTGTCGTGATTGGTGGATTCCTTCACGACTAACTCAGCATGACTGGTCTTAAACAACTTCTCGTAAAGGTCACTGGCCTGCAACATAAACTTACTTTAAACTTTGTATGCTGCAGACAGATTTGAAAACTTACAGACAAATCATAAATTGGCAAACACGTGCCTTCAGCGTCATGAGCGATTGTTTTCACCAACAAGCTAACCAACTGCCATTTTTCTTCAAACAAACAGCGGAAAATTTAGATTAGTTTTTACTATTCACCCACATCAAACATAGAGTATCAAAATACAACATCTTTCCCTTACATAGCATGCCAGGGATTGTTCCTCCAGCTGAGACAGTAACTCTGCTGCTATCCCCGGGTTCATCCCCAGCAGGGTGGAACATCCAATATGGCCGACTGCAGCTCCAAGACAGCCATACTTGCCCTTGTTGTTCCAGGTGACCCCCAGCAGCTTCTGGGTGGACTGGCAGACAAACTTGTCCTGTTGGGGGTCTGTTAGGACAAAGTCATCACAATTACAGAAATCATATTTATGATCTTTGTCAGTTGACATAGATCTATCACTTTGTCAGTTGTCTGCTTGCACAGATCAATCACATGTTTTGAGGCTACTCTTGCAAATTCAGCAAGTGAAGTTGATTCGAAACTTCATGTTGAAAGAACACAGAACACAGAAGTTGAACCCATATATTTTGTTTTGAAACGACCAACAAAACACATCAAACTATATTTATTATTTATACATGAAGTGAGGTGAAAAAGCGTTTAATGTCGCGTTCAAGATTATTGCACTTATTTACTGACGTGCATGCATGTGTGTGTGTGGCTGCTTGTACGTGTCCAGACTATCTAGCCCACTCAGCTACCATACCACAGTTTAACATGAATACCTACTAAGACTCTGAGCCGACCAGTCCTTGTTTTAGCCCCTTAATGCCGAGTAGCCAGACAGGGAACAACAAGTACTATATTTTAACGTCTTTTGGTATGATGTGAGTGAGTGAGTATGGTTTTACACTGTTTTTAGCAATATTCCAGCAATATCACGGCTAGGGACACCAGAAATGGGCTTCACACTTTGTACCCAATTTATACATGAAGCACATACATAAACAACATTTGGAGTTTTTTGAGATTCTCATGTTACTGGTGAGACTCATGACTAAGCATCAGTAATGTCAAAGCATTGACTTAAACGATATGACATGTTTGAGAAGGACCACCTTCATACAGTTGCTGCTATGACTCAGAATGTAAAGTCTCAATGAACTACCAACTTCTAAATGCATATCAAAGACTTGAAACATTTATGTACAGATACATCCACATTAATGGCATTTAGCAATATCTGGCTAAATGTTTTTATGCTGCGTTACATATTAACTTCTTTCTGTACTCCTTAATACCTCGTTGTTTTCCGTCCTCAGCCTGTTTCCCCCTCTTATGTCACCAACTTTGCCTCCCACTTAATCTACAACCAAGCTTACGTACCTTCCTCTATTATTACTACACATGGTTTTCACATTTGTCTCCACTACAAAATTTCACTTGATAAAATCATATCAAAGCGAGTTCCTGTTTTTGCTACTCCCAGGATGGTTTTACCTGACTGTGCGGCCAGCAGGTGAATCTTGAGGCAGTTTTCAAATGTCATCCTCGCATTGTGCCTCAATGCCTTTTCAAAGAAAAAAACGAATAAAGGTTAACATGGTGAATGAGATATGACTAATCACAAAAATACATTTTGTACATTAATCTAGTTCAGTGAAATCCTATTAATCTAGACGATAACATTTTCACGGAAACTGCCCAGATTCGCAATTTTCCAGAAAAACATATGGGTATGGAATAATTGTTTTCTTCTTTTCTCTGATTAAGATTTGCAAGTAAAAATTGTAAGTTTATTTGACCTTGGGCAAGTAGGACATTTTGATATTTGAACACCTGACTACTGACACATTAGCACTTTGGGCAGCTAAATCCTGGAATGTCACAGTTTCAGAATGATGCTGACACCAGTTTCCCTGTATACTTGTTTACTACTCACGTCCAACTGATCATCCCACGTTGTCCACACATATCCAAGAACACCGCTGATCACATGACCATCTCCTCTCAGACACTCTGTGAGATCTCCTGGGCACACGCCACTCTCTAATATGGTGCTATCATATTAAACACATATTTACTGATCACCTTGGATCATAAAAGTCATATTTCACAATTCATGACTAAAGACATCAGCCTAACCAACACTACCCGGTATTCTGAATACAGTAAACTCCGGTTATAACAAACTCAAAAGGACCAGTAATTTTAGTTCATAATAACCGTAGTTCGTTATAAGGATATATACAGCATATAGACAGCATATGGCCGGGACTAAAAAATAAGTTTGTTATATCAGTCAGTTTGTTAAAAGCTGGTTCGTTATAAACGTAGTTTACTGTACTATGACTGTTCGAAATGTACCTAAATTACACAATCCAACAGGATCATAAACCCTGCACTTAGTTTCCAAAAATGAAAAGTATGTAAGTTTACACACAGAGCTGCAGCTGATGCTCTGATATATACACATTGTACCGTATTCACCGTATTAAGCGCTCTGCACCAATAGGCAACCCCTGACCAACTTTTAGCACAATCTGGCCCTACAAAGACATCTGCATGACAGTCCATATTTTCTTGTGTATAATTTCAGACATTAATACAGAAAACAGCAGCGTGGAAGGGGCATATAATTGCCTTATAAGAATTATTTAAAATGTTTTAGTTCTGACATTTGAACTCGGGTTGTTCTCTCTGCTCTAATGCTGAAAACAGATTTAACTTGTTGTGTATGGTCTTAATAAGCGTCCCCCTTTCGTCAATTATATAAGTCCCCAGGGCGCTTATTACAGCCAAAACGGTAATCAACACCATTTAGCTTGATCTGCACATTCCAAACCTCTTCAACCAAATCTCTCCAGAAGGCACCTTACCCCTCCAGGAATATAGCTGACATACTTTAACTGATAAGGCATCAATAGTTTCATGCTGCAGTTAATACATCACAAACTTCTAAAGATCCATCTTGTTTTGTCCTTGCAGCTTGAGTAAGATTCATGACATTGTTCTGTGATAAATTTCTTACTTCATTCTAGATTATACATAGAAAGAAGTCAAAGATTATGATCAATCATTAGTCAATCATTGGCCTTCAGTATAAGTCAGTCACTATGTTTGATACCCGACACTTCAATGCCCACCTACCTTGTTCTGGTAGTCCACAGTGTAACAGCTTTGGCCAGGAGCACCTTGCTGCCTGTGTCCTCACACCTGAAAATAACCAGTAACTATGGTAACAGTCACTGTCCAGATGTCCTCCCTTCCCCCTCCATTCCCCTATCCCTACTTTGGGTTCCATCACATCACTCTTTATAACATCATTGGCAAACATATATTAAAACTCTTATTGCCTGATCATGCCTTTCAGATAATTTCATAGTTTCTATCCACCACTACAACAATGGTATCAACACTGTGACACAATCTGGTTATTTGATATACTGGTGAGTGAGTGAGTGAGTTAGTTTTGAAAAACAATAGGATAACAGTGTATCACCTAATGTCGGAGGTAATCCTGAAGGATGTAGGTTAACCACTTGGTGACATTTCTTTGTTTGTTTGTTGTTTAATGCCCCCTCAGCAATATTCCTGCTATATGAAGGCGGTCTGTAAATGAATAAATCTGGACCAGGCAATCCAGTGAATGACATCATGAGCATCGATCCACACAACTGGGATACCATGACATGCGTCAACCAAGTCAGCGAGACTGACCACCCGATCCTGTTGGTCGCCTCTTACGACAAGCATAGTGGCCTTTTACAGCAAGCATGGGTTGCTGAAGACCTATTCTATCCCGGATCTGCACGGGTCCACTTGGTGAGAGCACTGGTCTGAGGCTGACACTGATCCAGCATGTCTAGTGGGGGATTAATGCTGAATAAGAACCCATCATCAGTGGATCCAGCGTGGCTTAGGGACACAACTAATGCACATTAGACCACTGTCCCATCCATATCAGAATGGCATCCTAAAATATTTGAACTGAAGCATCCATGCCCTAACATAAGAACGACATCATGAAATTGTACCGGGCCACCCATACCCCAACATAAGAATGGATTTATAAAAGATGAGAACCATGTCACTCATGCTACAACACCATAATGGCCTCATGAAAGTGAAAGTTGCCAGTCATCCTTACCCTAATATCAGAATGGCCTCATGAAATAGAAAGTACCCAGTCATCTTTACCCTAATATCAGAATGGCCTCATGAAAGTGAAAGTTGCCAGTCTCCTTACCCTAATATCAGAACGGCCTCATGAAAGTGAAAGTTGCCAGTCATCCTTACCCTAATATCAGAACGGCCTCATGAAAGTGAAAGTTGCCAGTCATCCTTATCCTAATATCAGAACGGCCTCATGAAAGTGAAAGTTGCCAGTCATCCTTACCCTAATATCAGAACGGCCTCATGAAAGTGAAAGTTGCCAGTCATTCTTATCCTAATATCAGAACGGCCTCATGAAAGTGAAAGTTGCCAGTCATCCTTACCCTAATATCAGAACAGCCTCATGAAAGTGAAAGTTGCCAGTCATCCTTACCCTAATATCAGAACGGCCTCATGAAAGCAAAAGTTGCCAGTCATCCTTACCCTAATATCAGAACGGCCTCATGAAAGTGAAAGTTGCCAGTCATTCTTACCCTAATATCAGAACGGCCTCATGAAAGTGAAAGTTGCCAGTCATCCTTACACTCATATCAGAACGGCCTCATGAAAGTGAAAGTTGCCAGTCATTCTTACCCCATTTATCCAGAATGGCATCATAACCCCTCCTACCTCGGCCTACAGGTTCAGATCCTACCTTGGCGCCAAAGCCATGAGCTTGTCCAGGAACACACTGGTCAGTATCCATCCCTCATTGTCCAGTGGAAGGACTGCATTAGCAGCGTCCACCATGGCCAGGAGTCCAAAATGCAGGCAGAGAGTGGACGTCAGGGACAGGCTGTGAATTACACCCAGGTCAACTGACAGCTTGGGTGCTGTGATCGGAGTTATCTGCTCTTGGTTTGTCACACCTGTCTTGAATATGGATTGCAGGAGCTGCAACGAGGAATATTGTGTAAATATCATTCATGTGAGTGAGTGAGTGAGTGAGTGAGTGAGTGAGTGAGTGAGTGAGTGAGTGAGTGAGTGAGTGAGTGAGTGAGTGAGTGAGTGAGTGAGTGAGTGAGTGAGTATAGTTTTATGTCACTTATAGCAATATTCCAGCAATACCACAGCGATGGACATGAGCTTCAAACATTGTATCCATGTCTGGTATCCAACCCGGGTCTTCTGCGTGACGAGCGAACGCTTTATCTAGTAGGTTACCTGACCGTCCCCAATTCATTAGAAGATGACTTCCATTTCTGTGATACTTTAGAAGATCAACAACAAAATTGAAATTTACAAAAATAATTTCCATTCTTTGCCTCATAGTCGAACATTAATTCTTAAAATTATAAATCTCAAATTTGTATGACCTAATGGCTAATTCATTGTTCAGAGTGTATCCATTAGTTTGTTTGCTTGTTTGTTGTTTAACGCCACACTCAGCAATATTACAGCTATATGACAACAGTCTGTAAATAATTGATTCTGGACCAGACAATCCAGTGATTTACATCACTAGCATCAATATACACAATTGGGATACAATGACATGCTCCTACCAAGTCAGCGAGCCTCACCACCCGATCCTGTCAGTCGACAGACATGGGTTGCTAAAGACCAATTCAAACTCGGAAATCTCAAACATGAATGTCACAGGATTTACACAATATTAACTTACAAGATGAATATGGCGTTGCCCCAGCGACAACTTTAACACCAGAACCATGACCATTCCAACACCACAGCGGCAGTCGGTCAAAAAGTCATCTGAAATATAAAACAACTGTATCAGAACTACAACTTTCCATACATCATTTTCAAGTCATTTTCCCTATAGTTGCCCTCACTTTGAACGTCAATGGAAAGTTTTAGCTTCACAGGCTCTGTGGTTTCAGTGGAGATGCCATAGTACAACTAGGTTTACAAGGGAATGTGAAAGAGCAAGTTCACAGTAGGTGAAAAAACATCTTCCCAAGGCAAAGGGACTATAAAAGTCCAGTTTATGGAGTTATATTGGCTGGACTAACGCGCCTATGCATAGTCCATTCCAAATTGTGTAAAGAAATTGACATCTGGTTTGTAAACTGCCATGCAGATTTTGATCGATTGCAGGATTTGCAAAGCATGTGCACCGCCAACTTGCCATCAACAGATTTTTTCCAAATCCTTTCAAAGTGCTCACGTGATATGATGCACTTCGCGAATTACGACTCGTTTGTCACAAAATAGATTTTGATTATCGATCAGATCGTCTTATCTGGGCGCCGCCATTTTGATTGAAGCAAATACAAGTGATATGAGAGGTGAAATCTGATTGGTCAATAGGAGGAACATAGAAAGGACATAACTCGTAATAGCCACTTGTGGTGCTTTGATTGAGACCAGAAATTCCAGTCAAGTTTGGCAAGGGTGGAAACTGGACTTTTACAGTCAGTTAACTCCCTTGCCTTGGGAAGATGGTGACAAATAAAAAAACATTGCTTTTGATATGTGCAGAAATGCCTGAACAGCAGACCCTGAATTATAGGATTCTGGTGTCAAAAGGATGCCACTTTACATAGCAAACTGCGATGCTTTAGACAACTAGTCCACTGTGTCCTTATACTATCACTGACCCTGGTGTAGAATCTGGAGGCCTCCCTGTAGAAACCTGTCAGCCACGCCCTGCACTGTGTCACCAGGACAGGGATCAACAGAAGCCTCCACTGAACACTTCTGAATCAGGCGATTGGCAGTTTTGATGGTGGCCAGACAGTGATGCATTGTTTTGTTTCTTTCCACTGGGGAGGACTTTTGGCTGCAAAAAAGTTTAGTAGTCTCAACATTGACCTACTGCATTATTCACGCTATACAGTGCAATCAAAACTTCTGTTATCTAAACGTGTCCCTTTAACTTTAAACACAAGTTCCTCATACAAGAAAAAATATATAATATGTTTTCTTTTGAATAATAATGTTTACAATTATTCATCTACCATTTCTTAAAATATTTGAACATTTCAAGCATATTTCAGAGGGTCTGCGTGTCTGTCTTCACTATAGTGAGTGAGTAGGGTTATCCACTGCTGTAGTTGTGACAATATCCAGGAGTATCACAGTAGGGAACCAAAATGGGAATCATATTATACACATGACAGGCTTTGAACCCAGGACTTTGGTGTGATAACTGAACACCTTAACTACTAGGCTAAACCCCCAACTTGTCTTCATTGTAACACCTACTGCGGGCTTTGAACCCAGGACTTTGGTGTGATGACTGAACACCTTAACTACTAGGCTAAACCCCGACCTTGTCACTACATGATAATGAGCACAACCTGCCTTCAAGGCACCAGGACACACAATCAGCCAGCTCACACAAAGTTACCACCTGATCTCCATCAGTTGGCCCTTACAAACAAGCAGGAGGCTCTAGGGACCTATTCTGCCCTGGAACCCCCATATATTGAACCTTTTGTTTGTTTGCATGTTGTTTTAAGCCACACTCAGCAACATACCAGCTACATGACGGTGACCTGTAAATAAACGAGTCTGGGCCAGACGATCCAGTGAAAGATATTGCGAGCAATGATACACGCCATCAGGTACGATGACATACAATCAATTCCTGGTGACCTAATCCATTTGGTTGCCTTTTATGACCAGCATAAGTTGCTGGGACTATTCTAACCTGCCATGCCCTAGGGGGCCCCAAAAGGCCTTTGCATAAAAGACATTGTAAATCTTGAAATTAATGCGTCTCAAAATTAATACGACTGCCGATCCCTAGCCAAAAATGTGACGCAGTATCAATGCAACTAGTTTGACACAAGTGGGTAGAACTCTTGACGCCAGCAGTGATAACTCACCGGATGCCCATTGTGTAATTCCTATTCTTTGAATGACATTTTTATATACTTGTTACAACTGCTGTTCAATAAAGTGTGTTTGTGTTTATTTATTTCCGCTATCCAAAGTGTGCAGTGAGGGCATCTTATTGTTGATAGTCATTTTGGAGACATAAATGCAAAGCTTAATTAATGGAAACATTGACCACTTGCATTTTTCGCATTTAATTCGCACTCACATTAATTACAAGATTTACGGTAATGCCCATTCTTTGAGTCACCAGTCGTGATATGGCTGGAATATTGCTGACACCGATTACACCCCTTAAAATTTAACTAACTCACTTCTTGAACCAGAAATGTTGACAGTACTTACAGAGAAGCATCCACAAAACACGGCAAAGCATGAGATAGGAAGTTCAAGGCTGAAAATAAATAACGTTGTCATTGTTAAAAGTTATTTTAAAAACACAAATTTAATATTAGGTCAATCAAACGTATCTTCACATTAAAAATGTATCTGTCTAGCATTGAGGTGTGGTAAAAGATTATCTCCCTTAGAAAGGCTTCAGGGAGTTATAAGGATTATAGTGAGTGAGTGAGTTTGGTTTTATGACGCTTTTAGCAATATTCCAGCAATATCACGGCGGCGGACACCAGAAATGGCCTTTACACATTGTATCCATGTCTGGATTCGAACCCAGGTCTTTGGCGTGACGAGCGAACGTTTTAAGCACTAGGCTACCCGACCGCCCCTATAAGGATTATACACTTATAAGAATTGTTTATTATCAGTGAGCTAAATCAGCAGCAGATCGCCCTCACCTTCCATCCTCGTTTCTTTCAAACATGCTTCTCCTGAAAAAAAATAAAATAATCTTGTCAATTGTAACATGGTTCTATTGATACAGAAAACTGGAAGTTGAGACAATTGCAGTTAACAATATTGGTGCATGCATGGTTTTAAACCAATGCAATTTGCAGCAATATCACAATTTGGGACTGTAAGGATAAGCTTAAATGAGGGTCCTGATTAGCTATACTATTTAGTGAAAAACAATTTTAAAAATCTATAGTAAACATAAGCTGAGTCCAATTTATATTGTAAATGATTAATGTGATATGTCCATAAAAAATAGCATAGCGTAAATTAAAACTTCACTTTCTAACGTATTCATGCTAAAGTCTTCTCAATGTTGTATATAATAAGATCTAATGACACAACAAAACCAGTTAGTGTTTGGAATTTGCAAAACATGATTTGCAGTAAGAGAACAAAGCAGAACCAGCTGTCCCAATGCATAGAGATGACTTCATATTTTAGATTTAACTTGATAGCTAGTCCACACGTTTTTTCAAACTGACTAAAGACCCCAAATCTTAATGACTACTGACATGTGACACCCCCCATCAGGACCCTCTCACAGTCGCATACTGTCATATCAAGCCCTGGTCTTCTGCACAAGATGTATACCGTATTGGACCCCCAATCAACTGCACCTCCTCTTTCAAACAGTTTGTATAACATCACAAGTAACAGTAAGATTTGCTCACCTAGTCTGAAGTTCTCCATCAGAGAGTTTATCTCTTCCACTAAGCTCCTGACAGCATTAGAATCTGTGAGGAGTTTGAGGCAGGTATCAATTCGGGACTGTAGTTGAATCTGCAGCTCAATCTGGTAGCGGTCTCCCACCTCAGGAGGCAGACCCTGCAGGAAGCTGTTAAAAAAAATAAGGGTCCTTAAAAAACAGTAATTGACCTCAAAGACAGTTCACATTATTTATCGAACAAAGAAACAAGCATATTTCCTTGATGTCAAGAATGTTATCAAAGATATGCATTGGAAGAAGAAAATCTAATTGGCTAAGCAGTGTTGGAAATTAAGGTGTGCCTGGAATCCTTGGGGTTTGTTCCTGTAGTGGCGGAATCAGTGTGCAAAATGGCTGCCTGCTAGCAACATTATGGTTGGGATAAACATTCTGAAATGTCCCAAGCCTGACTGCCTCCTGAAATTTTAATGGCGACTTTTCATGCACACCTCTTTAAAATGAAAACACAAAAGTTCTCCCACTTCTGTAGATCGATACGACCATAAAAAAATCAAATCGAATCGAATCGAGGTTGCAAGGTGGCAAGATCAGAGTTACCCCCCCCTCATAATAATTGACTCATGATTTGCACACATTGATGCCTACACAGAATCAAATTTCTAGAAAATAAACTGCAGCACACTCAATTTTGAAACTGACTAGTAACCTCTAAGTCTTGCATGTCCACCTGACAGCTTTATGTTTAGACTATTTCACACACTCGGTTGAAACAAGGGATCTCATAAATGTTTCAACTTTTGTCACAAGGGTCATAACCAGGATCCTTTGACATTCCTGACTTATTTGAAAAACTGCTAAATTCTATGGCCTCTAGAGCTAGTTTCAGTCAATATGCATTTCTGCAGAAAGTAATGTGATCGTTTCTAGACCACTTTTAATTGAGGATATTTTCCCTATACAGTTATGGTAAGTCATTTTATTGAAATCAATAGAATATAGTTATTTGTATACCACAAAATCATTTCCATAAACACAGGCATGAAGTTACTAATTTCTCATTAAAGAATCTAGCTATCTGATTGGTCAGTTATCGTCATACAAGTCAGTTGGCCGGCCTATTTGGATATCATGACGTCATATTGTTTGACGTGACGTTACACGCTTGTCACGTCACAACTGACCCTGTTCATGCTGGAGGTTCCTGTACACAACTCGACCTTCGGCCTTGAGGTGTACACTCCCATCAGCAAGAATGAAGATCATGACACCTATTCATCATTGGTTTACCTTGCAAGAATTCTCTTGGCTGAAAACTTTGGTCCGCATTCAAAATACACTTCAACCAGTGTCTTCACAATTTCTTCCCTTTCAAGGAGTGCAACATTTTCTTTAAATGTCTTCAAAACCTGAAAAGTTATGAACAAAACATTCTGAAGAGAACATATGCATCAGTGAGTTGGGTTTGACAATGCTTTGAACAGTCAAGTACAGTAAACTATGTTTATAACGAACACATTAAAAACAAAGTTATTTTTTTGTCCCGGCCATTTGCTGTTTATATGCTGTATATATGCTTATAACGAACTATAATGGAATAACTATTATAATGAACTAACATCAACAAGGGAGGAAATCACAAAGTGCTGCATGTCTCATATGTATAGAACTCTGATGAAACACAGCAAAGGTATGGTGTTTACAAATCTAGAACCACAATCAGGGTGTATCTGGTATTTAAGCCCACATTCATAGGATTCTGGCATTCCTAAGGGAAGCAACTCTTCAAAACAAATCATGTCCCTTGGATAATCATGAGGCATAACCTACATAACATAGGAACAAGGATTCAACGGATGACCATCCTCGTATCCAGTGTATCATATCTCCATTTTACTGGGATGAACACACTGGATCCATTTGCCACAATAGCTTTGTCCTGAGTGACACGACACTAAAAATAGCCATCCAATCAAATTACTTATACATAAAGGGTAATTTCCCCCTTCTCTTACCTCTTTGAGGGACATAAGATAGCCCTTGGAATTATTCACAGGCAGGAGAGATGCACACAGGGCCTCAGTATCTACTGTGCCAGGATTCTCTCCCTTGGATTGTAGTGTCGCCATGATGCCTGCAAGCCAAAAAGCTCATATTAGAAAAAATATACAATAACAGGACGAGAAACATCAAGTAGTGAACATAATTTACTGAAGACAAATGTCAGTGACAATAAATATCCTATGACAAAATATCTGTAATGTAATCTATTATACACAGCAAATAATATACCTACGCTTATCATAACAAAAGTGACCACCTCTTTTTCCAACCAGTTTGTTGAAATCTGCCTAACGTAACGATAATGATGCTCCTTTTTACTATAAAGTTTGATGCAGTGTCAAAGTGAGGCTGATGATGATGAGGATGAATTACCTCCCTTTACACGCCGTAACTCTAAGTGGTTCTGTCGCCAAATAAGAAAACATTATCACCTGTCCTACCACTTTCAATGCTGTGCAACTTAAACTTTATCATAATACTGATGAATTAAGGCAAAACAAAATGTAAGATAGTCTTACAGGAGGATATATAACCAACAGTTGCTGTTGTATTGCAACAGTAAATTTCTGATGCATAAGGTATTTTAACATAGTTATTCAGATTTGCTGCTTGGCTGCTTGTGGCTAATGCAAGCTATACTGCAAGGAAAATAATTTTATAAAGAGACCAACACATTCTTTGGATATATATACACAATTAATCTATAATTGAACCAGACACCAGTCCCTAGACAAACATACAGCAGTAGGCTTTTGTGTGGTATGTAGACATCTCATTTCTTAAAACAGCACTGTAATCACTTTCCAAATGTGTTGTGAGCTATGAGTGAGTGAGTGAGTGAGTGAGTGAGTGAGTGAGTGAGTGAGTGAGTGAGTGAGTGAGTGAGTGAGTGAGTGAGAGTGAGTTTGGATTAACGCCGTTTTAACAGTATTCCAGTTATATCGTGGCGTTTCAGCTTCATGTGGGAGGAAAGCTCGAAGTGATGCAGGTCTCAGACATTTACCACTTTGGTGAAACCCACGAGCACGGGTATGGTGCTGACAAACCTAGAAACATAGGTTTCTGGTGTGTCCAAGGAATGCAACTCTGCACACCGAATCGCGGCGTTTTAAACGACTTGGCCACCCGTGCCCCCAGTGAGATATAAAATATATAATGATTTATACTTATGTAGTTAAGGTGTGAGGGTAGCATGAGGCAAACTGTACTGACAACTAACCATGTTGTATGCAAACTGCACTGTAGACAAAAGATGAATCAAGCTGTCTAAGGATATACACAGTGTACACGCTGGCTTTTGAAACTGCCAGTCCTTGTGGACTGTCAACTCTAAAAATTACCAGTCCCCCTAATTTTTGCCAGTCCCAACTTTCAACAAATAAAAAAACGTATGAAATTTTTTTGGTTTTACTTCTTTCAACTTCATGTTCAGTGCAAATATGTCATCTCTGAAGTAACTTCGTCAGATCTGTATGTCATTCACACAAACTTCAGTCACAATTTTCTCTTTATTTTTCAATATTTCGAGACAAAGTCGCTGCAACTGGATAATTTAACCTAGAAATAGACAAGGGGAAACCCTGATGGTAACAGACAAGCTGACTTTGTTAGGAAAATGTACTTACAACTTATATGAATATCCCCGATGTTTTGTTCAACAACGAAGATTCATAAGTACTTTATTTGCCGGTCCACAGGGCCTGGCAGTCACATGAATTACCGGTTGAAGCCTAATTTTACCAGTAAAAAACTGGTATTTACCGGTAAACAGGAACACTGAATACATTATGAGCATGAGGAGTAGTAGACATAGGACTAGGTACTGTAGGTTGGTCAGCCATTACCTTAGTTGTTTTAAAGGGTGTAATAAATGGGGTTTGGGGTGTATTCATTCAGACCCATCAATCAACTTTCAATAAACAACACATTAATCGAAAACCACACTAAATAAACATGTGATGCTTATTGGTTAAATAGAAAATTAGCAAAGTAAACGCATGGTCTTGCAGGGCCATATGAAAGGTTTTATGAGGATATATAAGATAGCTATGCGATAAATCGCAAAGAACAATGAAAAACAAAGCAGGGTTTTTTTCACGATAAAACATTGTTCTATCATGACTTCTTTTCTGGAGCTTCGAACATACGCGACAACTTGATATTATTTTTTAGAAGAAAATGTCTACTAAGATGTAGCTGGAAAAAACAGATAAATGTTATGGCTGGACGATTGCATCAAAAAGTGGGAGAAATATGACAATCGGTATTGGGAGAATGGGGAGGTACAGATAATCAATGTGTAAATAGTGAGAATATCTGGGACATACCAAACTTAAGCCCCATGTTCATAAAATGTGCTTGTTCAAAATTATCAGATTGTATTCAGGGAGTCATCAGTATTAAAATAAGGGTAAATATTTTTAAAGCATGTACATTTTATAAACATTCTTAAAATGCACCATGTGCACATAATCATGATATAATGTTGATATCTCATATCAGGAAATAAACGACTCGTGGTTGTTGTTTATCGTACAATAAAATAATAATCAATAATAACAATGTATCTATTTAACAATCTTAAGCTAAGTTCTAAGACGCATGTAATTTGTTGTGTACATGTGTTGACTGCTGTATGCCTACCTCAAACTACCTAATCATTTCGAACATAGTTAAGATGATGATATGTAATATAAATGTGACAGATACAACATTGTACATATTCATTTTATTCACCTTCAGTATCTGCTTTTAAGTGTTCAACTTTTATGTTTAATTATTGGTTAAGATAGATTACATGTAGTTAATGTGTCCTCCATGTTGTAAGCCTTAACCATGTTAACAAACCCAAGCCATGACGTGCTCAACTGATTGGCCAAGCTAACCCTCAAAGCTGACCCTTTGTCTCAGTGCATGTTCTCAGTCTGCACACATTTCTTACACAGACATGTTGGCAAGTAAAACCATCTAAAATCAGGTTAGTTTAATATGTTTGTGTATAGTTGTATTGCATGTTATTGCATTTAAATGTTGCAGTATATTAAACCTATAATACTAAACTTAACTAAAAGTGTTTAATATTATCATATTCTCAGTTACAATCTATTTAAGTAAATGTGGTAAACAAGACTCATAAATTGTAAGCTTTGGGAATAACTAATATATATCACTTTTCTGTGTCTCTATTCTTGTATATATGAGGAAGAGTGTATGTGTTGTTTTACAGAATAGGCTATGTTTTAAATGCTTTTGTGATCAGTTCTGTATAATATACAGTCTGTACTATACAGGATCCGGAGTAATATTTTAAAGTGTATGTAAATAGTATAGTTGTATTAGTCATTGTTATAAAGTACATGTTTTATTCAGATATACAGAATAACAAGTTGCGGCACTGTGGTCGGGAAGACACCCCAGTCTCACCCACAGGGTAGGCAGATGATTACTTGTATACTCTGTTTTTATATTTGTGACACATAAGTGTGTCACTCGTAATTTCATGTAACCCGTATATGTATGTATTTTGAAAGAGATTTATAATCTCTTGACACTTAGATAATATAATATATGGATAATTATTCTACTTGGTTCTTACATCAGTTAGCAGATTATTGTACAGTATAACAACTTGTATATGAATAACATCTGTTTGTAATGTAAAACGGTTTGTACTACAGTGATGTTGATGACTGCATTATGTATATTGTTAATATTACTTATCATTCCTTTAATATGTTTCAGGGTGTAGATAAATATATGAAACGTCCATTGGTGGAATCAAATGTCTCTCACCCGTAGCATGTGTTTGTATATTTCACATACACTGCCCTGCTACAAATGGAGCCCCCAGTCAGGACTATAGCCGTCATGGAAGCAACATCCACTATAGATGGTTTCCTTGAAGTGACTTTTGTGTGACCTTGGACACTGTCGCGTGACATTGGTGTGTTTATTGTGACCTATTTCCAGTATTGGATATTGCTACTTCAGCTTGAACATTCAATTCAATTCATGGACATTCTGATCATGTGAGTCCCCATCATGTATTAGTTCATTGCTAGCTAGCATTTGACTTTCAATTTACTTTGTATCTGGCGCCAGTTCAGTTAAGTTCTGTAAACTGTGACTTTGCTTACATCCCATATTTTGTACTAAGTTTTGTATTACAGTAGACTTCTTTGTCAGCTACTTCTCATTTTCCTGTTGGTACCAACATTGTCTACGTAGCTACAGGTTCTTTTGTGATGAGTTTAGTTTAGTTTAGTTTGGTTTAGTTCTGTTTGGTTTTGTTAAGTTTAGCTTAGTTTAGTTCTGTTTGGTTTTGTTAAGTTTAGCTTAGTTTAGTTTAGTTCTGTTAAGTTTAGCTTAGTTTAGTTTAGTTCTGTTTGGTTTTGTTAAGTTTAGCTTAGTTTATTTTTGTATAGTTTAGATTTAGTTTACCATTAGTTTTAAGTTAGTTTACTTATATAACGGTACTCAGTGTGTATGTGTTTATGAAAATAGCTTGATTACATTTCTACTTTCTGTCCTTGTTTTATCAAATAAAAGGTTAGCAAATAAAAATTAAATAAATTAAATAAGTGTGTCACACTTGTGAATTCATGTAACCTGTATATGTATGTATTTTGAAAGAGATTTATAATCTCTTGACACTTAGATAATATAATATATGGATAATTATTCTACTTGGTTCTTGCATCAGTTAGCAGATTATTGTACAGTATAATAACTAGTATAAGAATAACATCTGTTTGTAATGTAAAACGGTTTGTACTACAGTGATGTTGATGACTGCATTATGTATATTGTTAATATTACTTATCATTCCTTTAATATGTTTCAGGGTGTAGATAAATATATGAAACATCCATTGGCGGAATAAAACGTCTCTCACCCGTAGCATGTGTTTGTATATTTCTCATACACTGCCCTGCTACAAATGGAGCCCCCAGTCAGGACTATAGCCGTCATGGAAGCAACATCCGCTATAGATTGTTTCCTTGAAGTGACTTTTGTGTGACCTTGGACACTGTCGCGTGACATTGGTGTGTTTATTGTGACTTTTCCAGTATTGGATATTGCTACTTCAGCTTGAACATTCAATTCAATTCATGGACATTCTGATCATGTGAGTCCCTATCATGTATTAGTTCATTGCTAGCTAGCATTTGACTTTCAATTTACTTTGTATCTGGCACCAGTTCAGTTTAGTTCTGTGAACTGTGACTTTGCTTACATCTCATAGTTAGTATTTTTTCATGTACTAAGTTTTGTATTACAGTAGACTTCTTTGTCAGCTACTTCTCATTTTCCTGTTGGTACCAACATTGTCTACATAGCTACAGGTTCTTTTGTGTTTAGATTAGATTAGATTAGTTTAGATTAGTTTAGATTAGTTTAGATTAGTTTAGTTTAGATTAGTTCTGTTTGGTTTTGATTAGTTTAGTTTAGTTCTGTTTAGTCAAGTTCTGTTTAGTCAAGTTAAGTTTTGTTAAGTTTAGTTCTGATTAGTTTTGTTAAGTTTAGTTTAGTTTATTTTTGTATAGGTTTGATTTTGTTTACCATTAGTTTTTAGTTAGTTTACTTATACAACGGTACTCAGTGTGTATGTGTGTATGTAAATGGCTTGATTACATTTCTACTTTCTGCCCTTCTTTAATAAAATAAAAGGTTTATAAAATAATTAATAAAATTTAATTGCATAAATTAAACATAAGCTAAACATGTCTAAATTTACTGACTCTATGACGACAGACTTTTGCACTTTCTTTGAACATTTCACATTATGTTACTAACATCCCCTTCCACTCCCTCTGTGTTGTCTGTAGATTTAGAATTTAGTTACTTCCTTGGTTTGCAAATACACTTTGTAGGTATTGTATTTTCAACTTGGGATTTGCCGTATGCCTAGTAGTACATTCAAGTATATGTACACCTTATCCTGTGTACACTTGTGATGTGCTTCTTTCTTTTGTACGCCATGATATAACAGATTACTGTTAAAACCGACCTTAAACCGGCCTTAAACCAAACTCACTCACTCTTTCTTGTGTGAGTATATAATTACACTTTGTCTTCCCGTGTGATATGTTGGGAGGGATTGCCTTTCAGCTTAGCTTGTGTATTAGTTGTCTGAACTAGTTCCGACATTCCACTTGTTTGTCTTTGTTTGCCCTAGTAGTCGGTACAGGCCTTATCCACCTCACTACACACGTGTACAGTAGATATTTCCTACTGTGGTTAATCTGTTTGTGTTCCCATACCTGCATTTCAGAAAGATTGCAACATGAGTCAAGTTGCTTATTTCATGCATCTGTCAGTGTGACACTCTATATCACTTGGTACTTGCTATGCACCCATCACGGGATTGGTGTTTCCCTCATTTGACCTCCGGGTACCCTTTGATATTCCCTCTCTACCTCGTTGGCACATGGTCAGCTTTTTGAGCAGTTGTGTTTGTTTTCTTTGCCTACTTCTGCTGCATTCCTTAACCATCGAGTTCAAGGATGAGGAGTTGGAAGGCATGGCCACACTTTTTAAGAAGTTGGGGATGCAACCGAAGGCTGATATGCCTGAGGATTTTAAAGCCTGAATCAAGGACATGTATTCTCGCCAAGGCCCTCTTACCAGGGAAAATGAAGAGACAACTGGACCTCCTACTCACCACAGATGCAGGATGTTAAGCCTGTATCTGTAGCGTACCATCAGTTCCCTAAGCTGCCATTGTTTAGTGGAGATTTTCAGGGCAAGGATGTCTCATTTGACCTTTGGACTTACGAAGTGGATTGTTTCTTGATTGAAGTTCACACTGTCCTTGGGCATCCAAAATTGTCTTAGCTAGGAAGAAGAATGGAGCTTTAAGGATGTGTATAAATTTTAGACAGCTTCACAACCGCACCATCAAAGATTCCTATGCTTTACCATGTATTGAGGAGCTGTTAGACTGTTTAGGAGGTATGACCTATTTCTCTGTTTTGGATATGAAGAGCAGGTACCATCAGGTTGAGATAGAGGAGAGACATAAGGAAAGAACTGCCTTTACTGTTGGACCATTGGGTTTCTTAGAATATAACAGGATGCCATTTGGTCTTTCCAATGCCCCAGCAACTTACCAGCGACTTGTGGAGCAGTGTCTCAAGTGACTCCATCTGAAGATCTGCCTCATCTACCTTGATGACCTTATAATCTTTTCCAAGACTTATGAGGAACCTGTTCAACGTCAGAAGACTCCAGGAATGTGGTCTGAACCTCGTGCCAAAGAAGTATAGAGTCATCAAGACAGACGGAGAAGAACATGAACAGTTAGTCCTTCCAACAAGATGTAGATTGACCGTATTGCGAAGTCTCAACGTCAGTGTTGGGCATCCAGGGAGAGACAGAACCTTGTCTCTCATCAAGGACAGATTTTATTGGCCTGGGATGACCCAAGGATGTAGAGACTCATGTTCAACAATGTGTACTGTGTCTGCGTCGTAAAATACCAACAGGAAGAGCTCCACTGGTCAGTATAGAAACTTCACAGCCTCTAGAACTGGTCTGCATGGACTTTTTCACCCTGGAGCGATCAAAAGGAGGACTGCAACATGTTCAAGTAGTGACTGACCACTTCACCCGCTATGCCCAGGCCTACACTACCAAGAACATGATGGCAAGACAACTGCTGAAGTCTTCTTCAACAATTTCATTATACATTATGGGATACCTAAGCGTATCCAATCGGATCAAGGAGCCAACTTCACTGGGAATCTCATGCAGGAGTTATGTGAGCTTCTGAAAAAATCAACAAATCATGGACCACACCATATCATCCAATGGGGAATGGGATGTGTGAACGTTTCAACAGGACTCTCTGCAACATGCTTGGTACGCTTGACCCAGATAGCAAGAAGAACTGGAAAGCCTATATTGGACCATTAGTACACGCATACAACTGTACTCGCCATGAATCAACAGGCTTTGCACCATTCTTCTTGATGTATGGACCCGATCCACCTCTCCCGGTGGACATAGCTTTTGGACTTGACATGGATTCAGCCAAGTCAAAATCAATGACCTCTTACATCAATGATTTGAAAGATCGTCTCACCCAAACTTATGACATAGCATCTTCTTCTGCAGCTAAGAAAGCCCAGTCCAGGAACAAAAGTTTGTACGATCAAAAAGCAAGAGCAGCTGTCATTGAGAAAGGAGACAGAGTACTTGTGAAGGTGGTGGCCTTTGACGGCCGGCACAAATTAGCAGACAGATGGGAAGAAGATATTTATGTCATCTTGGACTAAATCTATCTATACCAGTATTTGTCATTGGTAAGGAGAATGGACCCGGACGGACAAGAACCGTGCACAGGAATTTAATGCTTCCTATCGGCTCTCTTCCCCGTACAGCGCCAGTGCCTAAACCAAGACGAATCAAGTCTCCACAACCACAACCTAAAGTTCGACCAAGGACGTGTGTAAACCAGACACCAGAGAAGACACCACAGGCGTCTCACAGGATGAAGATGAACTGGAAGATGGAGAAGATATGGTGTTAGTCACCACTCATCATTCAAACTCTGCAGGGTCAGCTCTTTATCCAGCTGACAGGCCACCTGAAGACAAGCCGACCGAAGATGTTGAGAGTGAGGACCAGAACACTGAAGTTGATGGAAGGGATGAGACTGTAGATGAACAACGGGAACAGCCTACAGAAGAACCTCCAGTTCCACCTGTGGATGTCCCACCAGACGAGGAAATTGTGGCTGCACCGGTGCCACCGAATCCTCAACCAAGTAGGTCTGTTCGAGAGCGGAGACCACAAAAAGGATGAGCGGTGGTGGGTTTGCTCTTTCAGCAGTTACTCAACCAGACTGTTTATCTTGAGCAAACTATCTCAGTTCTCTCATAGGAGTGCTTGAGGGCCAGCCAAAACATCTTTCTGATGCCCTACTGGATCTGGTCACAGTAAAGAATAAATGATGATGTCATTTCACCGAGGGACATATAAATGTGACAGATACAACATTGTACATATTAATTTTATTCACCTTCAGTGTCTGCTTTTAAGTGTTCAACTTTTATGTTTAACTATTGGTTAAGATAGATTAAATGTAGTTACTGTGTCCTCCATGCTGTAAGCCTTAACAAACCCAAACCACGATGTGCTCAACTGATTGGCCAAGCTAACCCTCAAAGTTGACCCTTTGTCTCAGTGCATGTTCTCAGTCTGCACACATTTCTTACACAGACATGTTGGCAAGTAAAACCATCTAAAATCAGGTTAGTTTAATATGTTTGTGTATATTTGTATTGTATGTTATTGAATTTAGATGTTGCAGTATGTTAAATCTATAATACTAAACTTAACTAAATGTGTTTAATATTATCATATTCTCAAATACAATCTATTTAAGTAAATGAGGTAAACAGAGAGCAGATACAATTCAAAGCTGGTAATGTTTTACAAAATGAATAACCATTTCTCCCCAGAATATCTTTGTAGGCTTATTCCTAATAGTTTCGGAAAACACAAATTATGACTTAAGGGATAAAACTAATCCCTCGAACAGTGAAGTATAAAACAAAAGCTTATGCAGATTCATTTATACCAGCTACAACACAATTTTGAAATGTCTTACCAGAAAACGGAGGCAGAGACTGTTACACAATTTTAGAATTTGCTTCACGTAAAGGGAGATAATGGTACACTGGGATTTAAATTATGGAAGCAGATTATGTCAAATTATTCAGTCGCCTCAGGCTTGGCTGCAGCTATGTTAATGCAGATCAATATGATAGATATATCTTGGATACAAAGTCTTGTTCCTGTGGATATCATACCAAAGATACATTACACTTCTTTTTATAGTGTACAAATTACTATGTTCTTCGAAATGAAATGTATTTTTACCAAGATGGTTATTGTTTACAAACAGTGCTCTGCGTAAATTCGTATTTGATTAAGAAAGAGCAATTCCTAATATAAGATTCTATTCAAAACTTCATATTAAAAACTGGCAGATTTTCATTTAAATGAATTGTTTAATATAAACTGCAAATAGATTTATTATATATACAATCTAGCTTTGCATGTACAATTCATTGTTTCATCTAACCTTCATTGGTGTATTTATTGTAACATGTCCTATGTAAATGGAGCGGTATTAACATAAGCGCTTCGCTTGTTTACCAATCCATTTTCACACTTTTGTGAAAATAAATATGTTTAAACCATGTGTTAAACAAGACTTATAAATTGAAAGCTTTGGGAATAACTAATATATATATATCACTTTTCTGTCTCTCTATTCTTGTATGTATGAGGAAGAGTGTATGCGTTTCACAGAATAGGCTATGTTTAAAATGCTTTTGTGATCAGTTCTGTATAATATACAGTCTGTACAGTACGGGATCCGGAGTAATATTTTTAAGTGTATGTAAATAGTATAGTTGTATTAGTCATTGTTATAAAGTATATGCTTTATTAAGACACCCCAGTCTCACCCACAGGGTAGGCACATGATTACATGTATAGTCTGTTTTTATATTTGTGTGACACATAAGTGTGTCACACTCGTAAATTCATGTATGTATTTTGAAAGAGATTGATAATTTCTTTACACTTAGATAATATAATATATAATTATTCTACTTGGTTCTTACATCAGTTAGCAGATTATTGTACAGTTTAACATCTAGTATATGAATAACATGTTTGTACTACTGTGATGTTGATGACTGCATATGTGTATTGTTAATATTACTTATCATCCCTTTGAAATGTTTCAGGATGTTGATAAATATATGACACTGGCGGAATAAAACGTCTCTCACCCGTAGCGTGTGTTTGTATATTTCTCATTCACTGCCCGGCTACCCCCATAAAACTGCTCAAACCAGACAGGTACAGAGACCACTGATCTTTAGTTAAATTAGTGGGCCAACTTAGTGTGTCGACTCATATGTCACAAAACAACAAATAGTATCATGTATGTCACGTAAACCTGTCAAATCAGATTGATTATAAACAACACCTAATGAATGTCATGGAGTAGGATTCTATCGACAGTCGACCTACAGATTTGCTATTGGAAATAATGGGGCATCTTACTGGAGATACGCTACCTTGCCTTATTAGCTGCTGGGTTGATCATATATTGTCATCTTGTAAACAAGGTGCACACGTGGGTGGCGCCATCTTGACAGTTTCGCAGTAAAGAGTGCATGATTAATTCATATTCATTGAGGAATTAAATTATAGGGACATTTTTGTTGTGCAACACATTAATTCATTATTATTGTAATATGCGTCTATTTTTAATTTCAAATGGAAGTATTTGTTTATTATTATTTTGTGTTCACTCCTGATTACTTTCCATATGTGCCTTACTTCCGGTTTTCAATACACCGACGGAGAAGCCTGTTGAACATAAAACACGAACCATGCGCAGTTTTGTTATTTAAATGTCCATCGCATATTAGTTCATTATACCGTAATTTACTTATAGTCTTCATCTAGCCTTCATAGGGAAAAGGAATTGTCTTGCAAGCAACGGTGATACTTGCGACTGAATGGGTGTCAACAAAGTCTCGGCTAAGACAGAGGTGTCAAGTGTCACATCAGAAATCGATCATCTTTTTATGACAGTGTGCAATTCCGGTACTTACAGGTAAGTCCATCCACATTCTTCACAGACAATGAAAGAGTTCATGTCAATGTTTACTAGTTTATGCAAAATGATAATGTTAACAAACTGCCAACAAACCTGTGCTCTGCACGGGCATAGTGTCATGGTATTATTGGATTGAGCAAACAAAAGGTATTTTATCTGGTAATTATGACCCTGTGCAGATGTATCTTTTGACAAGGTTGGACTGGACAACTGACATGATTATTAGGGGATATTTTAAAGAGGAATTCATGACATGACATTATAACAGATGATGATGTTTTAGTGTATATTGTGTTAGTGATAAGAAATTAATAATGATGAATGTTGTTAATGTTTATCATGGTCATGTTTGTATATTGTAATCTAAAGTAAGTACAAACTATGGCATGTAGGGTACGATGAACATCACAAATGTTATTGCTAATTTTAATTAATCACCAACAGTTAATATGATACTCCTGTATGTATTGGCAGCAGGGATGCTACCTTGACTGCTAGGATCCATAGGTGGGTGTTCTTGTCCCAGACTCACCTTGTTTATGATCATTGGTGTGTGAGCACCATACTGTTACCAGTTGTCGGTTCAGTCACCATAGTGATAAACATCTGCATCACACTGGTCCTTCTACATTAAATTTTACTAACGGTGCCATGATATAACTGAAATACTGAGAAGGGGGCATTAATGCATAAACATTCACTCACCCATATGTTCTGTTGGCTTGTTTGTGGTGGTGATATGTCTAAATAAAATATACTTTCAAACCTAATAGTCAAGTTACAATATTGTATGCAGTCATGAAGGTGTGAACATATTCTGTATGCATGTTGACACTATACCACATCAGTGCAAGGTTTTTATGTGCCCTGTTCCCTGGCTGTTCCCAAGCTATCATGAAGACGATGCTAGAGATAAGAATCATGTTAAGATTTTTTATTGGAACTTTAATTCACATACGTGGTATTCTCAGATATTAAGAGTATCCTTTTAGAGTGATTCATGATCACTTGGTGTAATTTGTTCTAATAATCTTGACAATATGTTAACTGAATTAGTATTTTATCAATTTAATTATATTATTATTATTAAAATGTTAAGATTTTATAATGTACACAAGGTGATGATTATACAGTGCAACATGTCCAAAATGGACTTGTCCTTAGACAGTTTTCTGTTTGTACCAGACTATTTTCATGGTCAGACATTTTTAGATTAAATTACCATGATAACAAGCAATTAAAATCTGTTGAAGTCACTTTCTTAATGCAAGATTTTAGGCTTAATCTCTAGGACAAAAGATCAATTTATAAGGTAATACATTCGTCCTGATTTCGATTGGTTTCAGACTCACCGAGCACATTTCACTTGCACTATCGGATAAGCTGATTAAATCAATCATCTATATGTTTACAACATGACTGGTGCTCCTGGCTTCTACCTTTGTGAAAATAGCATAAATAAACACAAGTTACCTAAGACTTCCGAATCAGCTGATCGGTGGCTCACCCTAAACCTGAATAATACACACTGCTGTCTAAATTGGACTATTATTTCAGTGAAAACGAATCTGGCTTCGATTGGTTTCACTGTAAACAGATATTATCCCATGCCATTCTAAGCCATGCTATTCAGACGCATTCACTTGCCTGAAATTCTGAGCCATTTTCAGATCTCCATTGTGCTCCTTGGTAATTTTCACTAAAAGGCTTTTTGATCACATCGTGATGGTGATTGCACTGATCTTGAAATGTATGCTTGTCTTCACAGACCAAGTTTAAGTCTTTGGGTAGCTTTTCTTGTACATTTCCAACAAATTTGATTTACCAATCATATGTATACCATGTATACTGGCACCATGGACATATGTTATGGGATTACAATTAACATGATTACCGTAATCGACGTAATGAGCGCCCCGCTCTAATAAGCGCCCACGGCGATATTTGCTAATATATTGGCAAGTGCATCCCTCCCGATTGATTAATGTACACAAGACATATTTATTTGTGTATAATACGCACTTATGTGTTATATGCACCCTTGAGTATGGGCAATTAAATTCTGGAAAAATATATCTGTCGTATATAAACAGTTCAGACCGTCAGCATAAACCACAAAAATTTTCTTTCAATTCTGTTTTTTTTCACCAAAATAATATTCTAATAAGAGCCCCCTATTTCTAAGTTTGAGAGCGTCCTGGGCGCTAATATTACATCAAATATGGTAACATGAAATAATGTACAAATGTGTTTCCTTGTGTCCAGGGGCGGTCGGGTAGTCTTGTGGGCTTGTCACACCGAAGACCCGGTTCGATTTCCGACATGGGTGCAATGTGTGACGCCCATTTCTAGTGTACCCCGCCGTGGTATTGCTGGAATATTGCTAAAAGCGGCGTAAAACAATCCTCACCCACTTTGTGTCCAAATGACCATAACAACTGCTGATAGTCGTTAGCAAGGTACAACAATGGTAATCATTGGGTCCATTTTACATATTTTTGTGGCAGAGTTTTCAATGTGTGTGTGAGAAAGTAGCTATGATTATATAACAAACTCAAAAGGACCACTAAATTCAGTTTGTTATACATGTTATAACCGTAGTTTGTTACAAGTGTGTATACAGCATAACTACAGCAAATTTTAGGGACAAAAATATTATAAACGTGGTTGACTGTATCGGGCCAGATTATTATTTTACGGATGAGCCTGTCCTGAATGTTAGAAATAAAACAAAGACTGTTTTAAATTAAAGTAAGCTGTCACCACTCCTTGTTAGCATGGTTAGGAGTGTTATTCTGATAGTTTTGTTGGAAAATAGAAGGTGGAGCTGACATAAATTTTCAAAAACTTTATTATTTGTTGTTCATGTCTTGGAGAAGTCTATATTTACTGAAGAAGGGCGGTCAGACATCTGTCAGGTGTTTAGAGTTTTGCTGAAATAACATGTGTCAAGTCCTGTGTTTTATTTTTTTGTAAATACTGTTCAGTTTTACTAAGATGAATTTAGATAGCTTTGATTAACTTGCCTGTTTCGGGAGACCATTTTGCTTTGGTTCAAACACACTTTGAACATTTTGAATGATCCAGTTTGATCTAGAAGCAACTGGTTCTTTTAAAATTTGTCCTTTTTAATTTTGGAGTGACCATCCAACCTAATTTATTAACTTGAAAGCTGAGAGAAACAGAAAAATAGAACATATTACGTTAATCTGCTAATAGGACATCAATTTCACACATTACTGACTTGACAGAGTTTGCCATCGACTGGACAGAGGTTTTAGTTTAAGAAATCCCATAGCTTTGAAAAATTATTCAATGCTGAGAATATTTCAACAGCAAAATTTGCCAAGGAGTGTCCACTTGGCATGTACTCTGGTATTTATTGTCATGTGTCCAATAGCTCTCTTAATCCAATTCATTTCATATGTTATGACAAAAGATATATATTGCTTCATCTAAAATAGCCAACATTAACTGCAAAACACACTTCTAGTATTATACCCTCTATAAATGATATATGCTTTATAAATCAAAATATGTTCTATTTGTTCAGCCTTGGGTTTTTGTGGCGCCATGGGTTTACCATTTTTTTAATGGGAGATGTGTATCCTGCAACAAAAGGGAACAGAGTTTGGAAAGCATTACTCTCGATCTACAACTTTTTGGCTACTAGTAAGCTGCTAAGACTCTCCTGCTATCAGTACCAGAGAAGCAAATGATGACTTGTAACATCTCACCAGAATCAATAGGAAAAGCCTTTTTATTACCAAAGTGGGTCTGATTTGGATTAATATGAATATTGATTTTAGCATTGGGAAACTTCATAAGGATGATACAAAACCAAAAAAAAGGATTGGAAGTGGAGGGGAGGATTGAGAATGGAAATTGCGCAGTAAATGTTTCCATTCAGCGACAGTTGTAGAGTTTCAAAGCAGTCAGCTCTCTTAGCCTGGTAATAATAAATGTTGGCTTTATGATGCACTCCATTTAATTTGACTTAATATCGGACGTGATCATTTGCTATGACTCAGTGCTAAGGAATGTCTTTGCTTGGATTGTTGATAATTGATTTATGCTCGTTAATGGTGTCAAATGGTGTACAATGTTCGTAATGTTCATTACACTCGGGATACATCTCAGCATCAGACCATCACGAGACATCCCATCCCAAGTTTATCATGTTCATCATCATGATCATACAAGCTGAAAAAAGTATCTTCAATTTGAAATTGTGTTCATGATCTCCTGGCATGTAATAATATTGTTTAAGCAAACATGTCAGAGCAAATTGTAATTGGGTTTGTGGATGACACAGTTCTATCTCTTCATTATGCCAACCATGTTTACTGGTCAATTACATCTTAACATGTCAAAGACACTGTGTTTTCCTTAACATGTTAAACAGAAAGATTTCTAAAATATTCTTGATTTGGACCGTGACCATGGTGACTCAAACTACCTCACAATGTACAGAGATCAAAAAGTAGTTCCATGGTGTGGAAACCTCTATTGGAAAAAGGGATTTATCTAGACCTGACCAGAGTCCGATAATGAGCCCCTTGTCTGCAGCAAATGACAGAACAAATTCTCAATTTGAATTAAATATTTCCCAATTTCTCAGAATTTACAAACTGTACTGTAAAGAACTGTAAAATAATTAAATTTTGGACAATATCACGTTTGTTTTCCCAGTTTGGCTGCCATGGGTACGAACTGAATCTTAGATAAGTACCAGAAGGTACTTCTCCTGGACATTGGTAGCCTGTAGATATAAAGAAGAAACTGAAATTGTCTGAATTGCAATCACAATCACTTTGGCATCACAGTGCTGTAAAAATGGGTGGAAAGTCTTTAATGTACAACCAATGGTATGACAGTATTTCGATTTGAGCTGTCAAAAGGATTATCAATCTACTATCATTTCTAACTGATATATCACAAAATGTTAAACAATGAAAAAATGAAACATGAAAACAAGGTTATAAACTCTTTTGTAACCATAGTACCGGTAACCATGGAAACATAAATTGAGAAATATGACTTTAAGACATTGTAATGGTTATAATTACCGTATTCGACGTAATAAGCGCCCAGGGCGCTCTCAAAATTTGAAATAGGGGGCTCTTATTAGAATATTATTTTGGTGGAAAAAAACAGAGTCGAAAGATAAATTTCGTGGTTTATACTGACAGCCTGAAATGTTTATATACGAGAGATCCTTTTTTCGGAATTTAATTGCCCTTTATTAAGGGTGCATATAACAAACGAGTGCGTATTATACGCGAATAAATAAGTCTTGTGTACATTGATCAATCGGTAGGGGTGCTAATTGGAATTGTTCACTAGCCAATCTATTAGCAAATATCGCTGTGGGCGCTTATTAGAGCAGGGCGCTTATTACGTCGAATACGGTATGTTGTTTTCCATTAGGCCATAATTTTGTTTATGAGACTGACCCCAAAAAACAAAAATATATTTTCGGGATGTCTGTTTTATATCTAGGTGAAATTAGAAATCACAAGATTTTATCACCGCTGTTCAGTACAAAATAGGGTTAACAATGGTTAATAATAATACATATAAAAAAATCTTTATTCTTACAAAAAAACTCCAATGAATTATCTTTCAGTATCGTTAGGAAATGGTGTGACCAGTGTCATTTCATTTGTCAGAATCTTTAAAATCACAAATGCAACTGTTGAGTTGTCCCACGATCCAATGCTTGTTACCCAATGAGTTTGATTTTCTCATATTAGTAGCAGTACTAATGTAGTTGTTGAAAATTGTTATTTATTTAGTTTTTATCATCTACATTGATTTTGAGGCCAAATGTTTTGTGATCCAACTACTAAGAAAGTTGATATTACTCGATGCATATATGAGTTTTGTCGTCATGCCAGCTTTTAACATGTCTAAAAATTGGATGTCCAAAAATTAGCAGAGGTCGAAACCTCACTAACTTCAAAAGTAATGTAATTATTTCATGATGAGAAGTACAACGAATACAATCCATGATGGATCAGTGTGAGCATTGTGAGAGCTGTGAATATGTATGAATATTCAGAGCGATAACAAGCACCAGTAAAACCACCAGAATGTCCTAGTCACAAGTCGGCTTATAAGCATGATAGAAGGGTCCCTGTGAACTGGTCTTCAGCAATCCATGCTTATCATAAGAGGAGACTTACGGGATCAGGTGGTCAGCATGGTCAGACTCGCTGACTTTGTTGATGCATGTCATCGCCTCCAATTACGTGGATCAGTGCTGCTGATGTTGATCACTGGATTGTCTGGTTCAAATTCAGTTATTTACAGACCACCTTCATATGATATAAGGTTCGATTCCCGACATTGGTACAATGTGTGAAGCCCATTCCTGGTGTCCCCGGCCGTGATATTGCTGGAATATTGCTAAAAGCTGAGTAAAACCATACTCACTCACTCATATGATATAGATGGAATATTGCTGAGTGGAAAATTAAACAACAAATATACAATAAATATAGTAGGGTTCCAGTCCTATCAACACAAGCTGGAATGAATTTTGTTTGTTTGGCATGTTTATTGGTTTCAGCTCTTGGATTTGACAAATACTTGCTGGATCAAGTATAAATCAGAAGTGGTTCTTTTGATAATTTGAATAAAACAACATGGATGATATCTCCTCTTGGTGGAACACATGGGCTTCTACATTCCACTAGCGATTGCAGTTTTCACCTGCTATGTGATTAAAATAGGAGTATATTATACTGCCTGGTGTGTGTATTGTAATAATGTTATAATTGTAATATTTGGTATGGTAACACATGACGGTAAAATAATAATATAATAAGTCCATTTATTATTTGCCAAATTCCACTCACCAAGTGGATGCTCATGGTGTTCCATTACCCCGTTCATAGGATCAGTGTGCACTTGATTTCTATTCCCAGCTAATATTTGGTATGGTTACATATGACAGTAAAAATAATAAAATAATAAGTCCATTTATTATGTGCCAAATTCCATTCACCAAGTGGAGGGGCGGTCGGGTAGCCTAGTGGTTAAAGCATTCGCTCGTCACGCCGAAGACCCGGGTTCGATTCCCGACATGGGTACAATGTGTAAAGCCCATTTCTGGTGTCCCCCTGCCGTGATATTGCTGGAATATTGCTAAAAGCAGCGTAAAACCATACTCACTCACTCACCAAGTGGATGCTCATGGTGCTCCATTACCCCGTTCATAGGATCAGTGTGCACTTGATTTCTATTCCCAGCTTACTGGCTGTATACAACCCAAGCTGTCTTGAGGTGCTAACAGGTTAACAGTTACATTACCATCTCATCCTACCGGGTACCCAGTCACTGCTTGGTGAACAGAGGCATGTTTCGAACAAAGTCACTTGCCAATTTCATTAAAATAAGATCTTAGTTCTCGCTACCGCTAAACAAAGATCTGAGGACATACCATTACAGGTCACATCAGCCCGACCTTGGCGAACTTTGACCGACCAATGGAATGACTGACAAGAAGTAGACATCAGCTAATCAGAAGGCAGCTTTCTCGTTTTTTACGACACAAATGTCAAATTGGCGACTACGCTTCGAAACATATTTTAAAAATTCTTGATTAAAAATTTGAAACCTGAACCAAAGAACATTCTGGAATGGCTAAATAGATGGTCTAGATTGTATGGATTCAGTCGTTAAGCCCGTAACTATTGTTCGGAATACCCCATGTTAAAGTTTTCGAGGTTGCATGATTAGAAATCACATTCCGACTGTCACTTTCATGATCTGTTAAGTGACGCACTGATTGGTCGGAAGAAAGGTCGTTCTGACGTGACCCTTAATGGAATGTCCACAGATCTTTGTTTAGCGGTAGCGAGAACTAAGATCAGATTTGAATGAGATTCAGTCACTTGCCTTAGGAGACACACTTGTGCTTCAGTGTGGGGTAGGACAGAAGCTCTGGAAACTCACAAAAGTCAATCTGCCGAACACAGTCGCCCATCCAACTACTCTCTGCGACCAATGCTGCTTAACGACATCTGATTTGTGACCTGTGACCTGTGCTTATGACCATGTGTCACCACCTTTAATATTTATTTTGGTCAAATTAAGGAAGAAAACAACCATATTGATTACAACCACTGTTCTGAGTTTTCCATAACCTGTGGTTTTTGTTTCAGACTTGACTTTCCCCAAGAGATTAATTTTGGCAAGTATCAATTCATCATCTAGCAGTATATGAGAAAAGATCAATGTGTCTGAGAAAACTACCAACCTATTAATCGGTGTTGATTGTGGAACATATTGAAGCAGTTGTGGCCATTGTTTGTACTGGAACTACCATGATTACCCTGAAAGCTGCTAGAGCCATGAAAAAATGTGTAATATGAAATGTATAATCTAAAAAGTGTAATATAAATATTTGTTTGTGTAGTACTACTTTCCCAACTAACCCTAATCAAGAGCCCTGGGCTCAGACCTACTTTCTCTTTGTTCTCAAGTTGCACTATACCTTTTCCACCATCTTGGTATTGTCCATATTTGATGCCGCTTGTGTAAATATGATATGGATATCGATAAACTAGTCATTATCATCATTTGAAAGCAGACTTTATAGAGGATATTATATGAGTGTTTTACACGAGTGTCATAAACATGTCTGACATGAACACTCATATAATGTTCTATTTATTACCGAAGAAGATGTCTACATCATGTACGTACAGAGACAAATTTTAGCAAATAGCAACAGCAGCGGAACCACAATTTGTTGATTGACGTCAACAATCTTCAGCTATGACGTTGTTTCTCATGTAACATCCTTCCGACCTCACGTCACAATAAGATTAGAATGACGTCAACAATGCCATCCGGATGATGGAAACAATACACTGTTGTCTCATGATGCAATATGACCCTAGGCTCATATGATTTTTATTAACCCCGATATTTTTGCCCTCGTATGTAATAAAATTATTTATTGGACAATCGATGTATTGCAATTGCCCTAGGAAAGTTTAATATTCGATAGGAATATAATAATGCTATTAGTATCGTCGATAGTATGCATAACAATCGATAGTTTTAACAGTTGCAATTTGTTTATAAAACCTAAATTATGCAAATTTCTAACCTGCCTGTATGTTGGTTATGACAACTTCAGATTAGAGTTACTCCCCCATTGGTTTGAGTCGTGAGGAGAAGGACAACTGACGACTTTATAGATTGTCAGATTGTTGCAAAAGTAAAAATAGCCCCAATAGTGACACCTGTTGCAAATTAGCATTGTCACAGAAAAAACACCAAATGACCTACCTACCAATTGTAGGAAGCAAACATATTTTTATATTTCCCTAATTGTGGTCAAGGTTATGAAGTAACCTTCGGTGTGACTTGTATCCACGATTTCAAGTCTGATATCCTTTGTGCCATATTTGCTGAAGTTTGAATCATGTAGCTCCAGCATGGAAAGTCGCTTAGGCTTTAAGGAGCTTTACTCCCGGTCTAACACAACTGACAGGCAGGTGATGGGCCAGGGAGGTGCAGTAGGGATGTCTGGAGGTCAGTCTATTGTTAAGTCAGAGTGGGTCTCCTTAAACAGTAATGCAGCCTGAAAACAGTTTGATGGGAATTTTATGTCAGTGGCAGCCGGTTGACCAGCGTTTTGACTGCTGGATCGGAAGGTGATGTTAGTAGTATTTTAACCATGTTTACTGTGGGATATCAGAGTTTATTTATCAGATAGTGTGGACATATATCTGTAGCATATTTTGAATAAGTAGATCAGTCTCAGTAGTTAAGGTATCAACATGATAAAGTTGTTTCACTGGTTATTCAATAATTGACAGGATATGAAATATACAGCTAAAAGACAACAGGCATGGCCAGCCCAGTCAGAGTTGTCCAAGGCGATGTGTGGCTGTGCCGAGTCGTATCCCATGGGCTGGCTAAAAAATCTGTGATCGTGGATTGGAATCCTGTTGTGCCCCCGATATGTTTCTAGGTTTGGCTGCACCATACCCATGCTCATGGGTTTCAAAGTTGTAAACGTCTGAGACCTGCATCACTTTTCTCCCACATTAAGCTGACACGCAGTGATATAACTGGAATACTTTTCAAAGTGTCGTTTAAACCAACTCACTCACTACCAGATACCAAACTGATGCCTTGATGCAGGTTATAGTATCCCAATTGCATAGATCGAAGCTCATGATATCAATCCCTAGAGTGTCTGACTCGATGATTTACAGACCGCTGTCAAATAGCTGGAATATTGCTGAGTGCTGCAGTAAATAACAAATGAACAAATCTAGAACCACAACCAAATGGCAGGATATCTCAGTGATATCATGGACTCATTCATAGTCAGGTTATTCTGGAACCAGTTAAAAATGGGCAGGGTATCTGATATGATACTCTGATTATCTAAGAACTAGCACAAAATATCTCAGATATCATTCTGACATGGATTCTGATTAGATTCTCTCTTTTTTCTAGTTACATTCGGGCTTATTCTGGCTATATTCTGGCTTATTCTGATTTATAAAGCACTGGCTTATTCTGATTAGGTTCTGGCTTATTCTAGGTAGATTCTGGCTTATTCTGGTTAGATGGATTATTCTGATTAGGTTCTGGTTTATTGTAGTTATATTCTGGCATATTCCAGTTATATTCTGGCTTATTCTGGTTAGATTCTGGCTTATTCTGGTTAGATTCTGGCTTACTTTGGTCAAACTTAGAATATGCTTTTGTTTGAATCCATTGATTGATCCTGAGTTTGAATCCCACTGTTATCTTGAGTGTGGTCCCTGGTTTGTTAGCACCATAAGAAGTGACCCTTGTTGTTGGGTTACATCGAAGGGGTAAACATCAACTACCAGTTTGGGCTTCCCTTCCACATTAAGCTGACGTGCAATTATATAACTGATACACTGTTGAACACAGGGTAACACTCACTCAAATCCATTGCTTCAGTTAAGGAACGACCCTGCTGCCAGCAGACTAATTGCATTGGATGACTGACTCCTTAAGGTACACAAACTGGCCATTAGAAAAAACAGACAGTGTGTAAAACTGTCTGGTAGTGTTTGAGTATTGCGACATGCGAGTTCTCCAGTAATTTCACCCTTTGTGAATCAATGTTCACATAGTGTGTGTAAACAGACTCCAAATATAACCACGTCCAGATGGGACTCTTTTGAGGAGCGATTCGTCAGTGGCATTTTAGTAAATGGAAATTTCTGTAAAGTCCAAGAGCATACACCATCAGATTTTGATCTCACCTGAGGTGAAACCAAACGTGATTGCATTGAAAATACAATAAGCAGTGAAATGAAGCAAACATTATGTCTTTGGTAGATGACGTGCACGCTGACATGTCCCCAAGAGATACTTGGCCCTGACTCCCCAACCTCGCTTGACCTTTGTGATCCCCCTCCAGGTAGCGCTGTTGTTTCATGGTTAATGAACTGTCCGACTGGCTGCAAGCATTCAGCGCATAGGGAGAAAACAGCAGGATGCCATCAGTGCGTGTTCCATTCTTACTGATGGCTGTCTGTCTGGAGTGGGTTAAAGGTGCCCTTATTGTCGACATTTGTAGCATGACAACTTGTTCATCACTATCGGAAATAATCTGATAATAATGATCATGATGATATGTGCTGTTTGATGTTCAGATGGACACAAAAGGCATCATGCCCCTGTGCCATCCCTGGCACCATCTCCGGGGACGATCTCCCGGCATCATCCCCCCGACACCATCCTCCGGCATCATCCCCCCGACACCATCCCCCCGACACCATCTCCCGGCATCATCCCCCCGGCATCATCCCCCAGCACCATCCCCCAGCACCATACCCTGGCATCATCCCCCGGCACCATCCCCCGGCACCAGCACCTGGCATCATCCCCCGGCACCATCCCCCGGCATCATCCCCCAGCACCATCCCCTGGCATCATCCCCAAGCACCAGCACCTGGCATCATCCCCCGGCACCATCCCCCGGCATCATCCCCCAGCACCATCCACCAGCACCATCCCCCAGCACCATCCCCCAGCACCATCCCCAAGCACCATCCCCCGGCACCATCCCCTGGCACCATCCCCCGGCACCATCCCCCAGCACCATCCCCAAGCAACTGGCATCATCCCCCAGCACCATCCCCTGGCATCATCCCTGGCACCATCCCCCGGCACCATTCCCTGGCACAATCCCCCAGCACCATCCACCAGCACCATCCCCCAGCACCATCCACCAGCACCATCCCCCAGCACCATCCCCAAGCACCTGGCATCATCCCCCGGCACCATCCACCAGCACCAGCACCTGGCATCATCCCCCAGCACCATCCACCAGCACCATCCCCCAGCACCATCCACCAGCACCATCCCCCAGCACCATCCCCCAGCACCATCCACCCGCACCATCCCCCGGCACCATCCCCCGGCACCATCCGCCAGCACCATCCCCCAGCACCATCCCCATCCCCCGGCACCATCCCCCGGCATCATCCCCCGGCACCATCCCCCGGCACCATCCCCAAGCACCATCCCCAGGCACCATCCCCCGGCACCATCCCCCGGCACCACCCCCCAGCACCATCTCCCAGCATCATCCCCCGTCACCATCCCCTGACAACATCCCCCTGCACGATCAACCGGCATCAATCCCCGTCACCCTCCCCTGTCATCATTCCCCGGGACCATCCCCATGCTCTTAAAGTTTCACCATAGATGTAACGTACTGCAGAGCTCTGAGGCACTGGTTGTATGTCTTTCATTTGTAAGCAATATATATCACCTGTGTTCCCTTGTTTAATCCCCCCAAGTATGATAAACATAACAGAGTGGATAGTTTACCATTCGTCATGATCGTTATCCATATTACATGGGACAAATCAAATTAATTTCCATCAATATCCAAGTTTATGCTTTAAATACGATTAATAATTCAAGTATCAGTTTCCTTGTTTAAGCTTTTGGCATTAAAAATATTAAATCACCATTTTGTTCTATAGAAAGTGGAGATGCCGGCCACCGTGGTGATATGGCGTTTGAGGTGAAGTGATATTTAACATGTGCAATAATGTTTTGGTAATGAGAATGCTATGATTTGACTGACTTATAAGGCATGGTCAGCCCAGGGAGCTTAATCACCCCTACTAATACCCAGGAGGGGGTACCATTCGTAGATTTCACTGTCTATTTCAGTCCCCTCCTCTCCATCATCAAAGAGAGGCTAAGACTTCCTGTAAGTCTTCACAGAGGGATAATTGCCTTGAAAGGTGATTAATGGAAGTCATCATTAGTGGGTAGCATTCTTATGAAACTGTGCGGATCTGCCATTGATTTGTAAATGACTGATAGGGACAAGGCAAAGGAAGGTTTCTTTATTTATGAGCGGTCATTAGTGAGTTTCTGTGTCCAGCTCAAGTGACCAGCGTGTGGGATAGATGCATGTCTTGATTGATTGTTTACGAACATTGCCATCAGTAAGTGGTCATTGATTTTCCTTCAGACTGACAGGAACTGTTTTCATATTGGTCAGAAGGTCTTTTCCGTTTGTCTGTTCAAAAAACGATTCCATTAAAGATTATAGACAAATTATGGATTCCTGAGTGAGTTCAGATGGTGTGATGATTGTAAACAACTGGAATTATTTAGTCGCAAATTGTAACATAAATTGCTTTTCAATACTTATGCCTATTTTTCCAAATCTTCATTAACTAAGGTCCTCTAGACCATTGAAATTATGCTGTGTTACCCATAGTTCCACGCAAGCAATGTCAATATTAGTCAATAGGATTCGCCAAGAATTGATACCAGGTTGTCAGCCCCGTACCCATTCTTGTTGGTTTTATGAAAGTGGTAAACATCTAAGATCTTCATCACTTCGCACTTTTACATGTTGAAACATTTTTATTTTGATGCCTATTGCTGGTGTCCCCTGTCCTGATATTGGCTATCCTGTCCTGTCTGGCTAAATTGTTGTTTTTTTTACTGTTAATTTCTTTTTCTTGAGATTCTGACCTCCATGGCATGCCATATTATTCTGGAAAATATTCTGAAACCCATTTTGAGATCTTTTGGACCAAATTGTAAGGTTTGGGTTTAATATTTTACAGAAATAATGGGAGTTTAGAATTGCAATTGCTGCAGATTCCAAATTTGATGAGACTAGAAAGGAATGTGATTCGGCAGTTAATGGAGAATCACTCTAGTTCGAAGCAATGAGAATGAAGATTGCCTCCTTGAAACCAAATTGCAGGTCTCACCTTGCCTCCAGCTGAATGTAGAATTACTCTAGCTATGGAAACGAGGCAACATTCAAGAAGATATTCAGGTTTCCTTAGAATTTGGATTAAGTTTGGACTAACAATGCTTTAGGTTGTGTTGTGTTAGCCTGTGGTTTTAGTGGTGATATAAGCACTGTAGTCACACTTGCTATCCTGAGAATAACCTATCTTCTTCCTCACCACCGGTATTGAGTGTATGTTGTTGAAGCCTCTACTGTGGTCTAGTGTGCTTGTCATACTCAGGGCTAACACACTGTCATGATATATCAGTGCCCTAACCAAGGCTGTTGGTGGAGGCTTTGAGGGCTACTGTGGTCCAGTGTGCTTGTCATACTCAGGGCTAACACACTGTCATGATATATCAGTGCCCTAACCAAGGCTGATGGTGGAGGCTTTGAGGGCTACTGTGGTCTTGTGTGTTTGTCATAGGGTTACACACCGTCATGATATACTAGTATCAGTGCCTTAAATAACCAAGGCTGTTGGTGGAGGCTTTGAGGACTGCTGTGGTCTTGTGTGTTTGTCATACTCAGGGCTAACACACTGTCATGATATATCAGTGCCCTAACCAAGGCTGATGGTGGAGGCTTTGAGGGCTACTGTGGTCTTGTGTGTTTGTCATAAGGGTTACACACCGTCATGATATACTAGTATCAGTGCCATAAATAACCAAGGCTGTTGGTGGAAGCTCTGAGGGCTACTGTGGTCAAGTGTGTTTGTCATACTCAGGGCTAACACACTGTCATGATATATCAGTGCCCTAACCAAGGCTGATGGTGGAGGCTTTGAGGGCTACTGTGGTCTTGTATGTTTGTCATAGGGTTACACACCGTCATGATATACTAGTATCAGTGCCTTAAATAACCAAGGCTGTTGGTGGAGGCTTTGAGGACTGCTGTGGTCTTGTGTGTTTGTCATACTCAGGGCTAACACACTGTCATGATATATCAGTGCCTTAACAAGGCTGATGGTGGAGGCTTTGAGGGCTACTGTGGTCTAGTGTGCTTGTCATACTCAGGGCTAACGCACTGTCATGATATATCAGTGCCTTAACCAAGGCTGTTGGTGGAGGCTTTGAGGGCTACTGTGGTCAAGTGTGTTTGTCATACTCAGGGCTAACACACTGTCATGATATACTAGTATCAGTGCCTTAAATAACCAAGGATGTTGGTGGAGGCTTTGAGGGCTACTGTGGTCTAGTGTGCTTGTCATACTCAGGGCTAACACACTGTCATGATATATCAGTGCCTTAACAAGGCTGTTGGTGGAGGCTTTGAGGGCTACTGTGGTCTAGTGTGCTTGTCAGAGGGTTACACACTGTCATGATATATCAGTGCCTTAACAAGGCTGTTGGTGGAGGCTTTGAGGGCTACTGTGGTCTAGTGTGCTTGTCAGAGGGTTACACACTGTGATGACATATCAGTGCCTTAACAAGGCTGTTGGTGGAGGCTTTAAGGGCTACTGTGGTCCAGTGTGCTTGTCAGAGGGTTACACACTGTCATGATATATCAGTGCCTTAACAAGGCTGTTGGTGGAGGCTTTGAGGCCTGCTGTGGTCCAGTGTGTTTGTCATACTCAGGGCTAACACACTGTCATGATATATCAGTGCCTTAAATAACCAAGGCTGTTGGTGGAGGCTTTGAGGGCTACTGTGGTCTTGTGTGTTTGTCATACTCAGAGCTAACACACTGTCATGATATATCAGTGCCTTAACAAGGCTGATGGTGGAGGCTTTGAGGGCTACTGTGGTCTTGTGTGTTTGTCATACTCAGGGCTAACACACTGTCATGATATATCAGTGCCTTAACAAGGCTGATGGTGGAGGCTTTGAGGGCTACTGTGGTCAAGTGTGTTTGTCATACTCAGGGCTAACACACTGTCATGATATATCAGTGCCTTCACAAGGCTGTTGGTGAAGGCTTTGAGGGCTGCAGTCGGAATCATACAATCGATTTTGCTTTTTGCAGAGATTTTCTTATGTATGTAGCAGGGCAGTCAATGAGGAATATACAAACACACGCTATGGGTGAAAAATGTTTTATTCCACCAATTGATGTGTCATATATTTATCTAAGTGTAAAGAGATTATAAATCTCTTTCAAAATACATACATATACATGCACATGAATTTACGAGTGTGACACACTTATGTGTCACACAAATATAAAAACAGACTATACAAGTATTCATGTGCCTACCCTGTGGGTGAGACTAGGGTGTCTTACCGACTAGAGTGCTGCAACTTATTCCGGATATCTGAATAAAACATATACTTTTATAACAATGACTAGTACAACTATACTATTTACATACACTTTAAAATATTACTCCGGATCCTGTACTGTACAGACTGTATATTATACAGAACTGATCACAAAAGCATTTAAAACATAGCCTATTCTGTAAAACAACACATACACTCTTTCTCATACATACAAGAATAAAGAGACAGAGACAGAGGGTTTTGTCGTTGTATTTAGATAAATGCTTACTGGGTACTTACCAGCAATGAAACATGTTTCACACAATTCAAGTTATCATGGGGGGGCACAGGTGGCCCAGTCGCCTAAGGCGCTGCGATTTGCTGTGCAGAGTTGCGTCCCTTGGGCACACCAGAAACCTATGATTGTGGGTTTCGAATTCCGGTTCGCCCTGATTATGTGTCTAGGTTTGTCAGCACCGTGCGCGTGGGTTTCACCGAAGTGGTAAACGTCTGAGACCTACATCACTTTGGGCTTTCCTCACACATTAAGCTGACACGCCGCGATACAACTGGAATACTGTTAAAAGCAGCATTAAACCCAACTCACTCACTCACTCACTCACTCACTCACTCACTCACTCACTCACTCACTCACTCACTCACTCACTCACTCAAGTTATCATGGACCAGAAATGCATAAGATCTACATCATGCTTTTAATCTTCTCAAGTAAATAAAGATGTTTATTTGCATTCAATCTTTTGAAAGCTTTTTTCGTTGTTGACTTTCTTTAACTATGTAATGTTTCTTATATGTGTACCACAAGACAAGGAAGAATAACATTTTCTGTGTATAGAATGACGTTGAAACCAGTAATTAAGCCATAAAATAACTTTATCACCAATTTGCTCCATATGAACGCATACAGCAAGCAGATGTCGGGATGACTTTCTTTCTCAAATTTAGGTTTCTTCGATTTTGCTTCTGCAGAAGGCTTTTATGTAACCTGATGCCGCTTCCTCCTCCTGCGTTTTTCACCTCTCAGGTGCAATGAACGATCTAAACAATTTGGAACGAGATGTTAATACACTGTCTCCATATCCATTCTGCGTTTCTGCACTTGGTGCACCAGATGAT